GTTGACCATCGTGCCTTTAGGTCAAGTGGGATGGCGATGCTGATCCTCGCCACCCCTTCAACTGGCCACGTTCTCGTAAATGGGCCATCACCATCCTGCTCTCTAATGGCGGGCTCGTCACCCTCATGTCCGGCGCCATGCTTGCACCATCGCTCCATGCCATCGCCCAGGATTTCGGCACCGATGAGGAGGAGACGCAGATTTTCCTCTCCATCTTCGTCCTGGCCTTCGCCTTCGGCCCCATGGTCCTCTCGCCCCTCGCCGAGGTCTTCGGCCGCCGCCCTGTCTGGATCCTTTCCAGCTGCTTCTACATCCTGTGGAACACCGTCGCCGGGTTCAGTCGCTCCCCGGGCCTCTTGATTGCGAGCCGTGTTCTCTCCGGCATTGGCGCCAGCGCCGAGTTCGCCGTGACGCAGCCCGTGCTCTCCGACTGCTGGGTGCCGGACCAGCGTGGGAAGTCATACGCCATTGCCACCTTTATCCCGCTTCTCGGGCCCGCCATAGGCCCCATCATCGGAGGCGCCGTCACGCAGTCCATCGGCTGGCGATGGACGTTCTGGATTCTCTCCGTCTATGATGCCGTCTTGGTGATTATCGGCGTATTCATCCTCTCGGAAACGTACGAGCCCATTCTCCTGTCGAGACAGGCTTCCAAACTCAGGAAAGGTACGGGAAAGCCCTACTTTACAGATGCTGGTAGCGAGTCCCAAGGCTTGGGTGTCAAGCTTTCGCGTTCCCTCATGCGGCCCCTGCGGCTTCTTCTCACGCAGCCGATTCTACAGGTTGTCGCCATCTTTCTCGCCTACAACTTTGGCATTTTATACATTGTACTGTCCACATTTGCCACGCTGTGGATTCGTCGATATGGCCAGACCGAGTCCGAAAGTGGGTTTCACTACATCGCCTTGGTCATCGGCTACACGATTGCTGCACAAGTAGGCGGCAAGGTCATGGATCGTCTATGGCGGTACCTCAAGGCGCGGTCCGGCGAGAACACGGCGCCCGAGTATCGGGTCCCGCTTATGATTCCCGGCGCCATTCTGATTCCCCTAGGTCTCCTACTCTACGGGTGGGCTGCCGAGCGCCACACTCACTGGATCGTGCCTGATATTGGTATTGGCATCTTCGGCTGCGGCATTATCCTTAATACGCAGGCCATGCAGGCGTATGTGATTGAGTCGTTTCGCAAGTACGTAGCCTCAGCGTCGGCAGCGGCGCAATTCCTGCGCAGCATTGCTGGCTTCGCCTTCCCAATCTTCGCCCCTATCATGTACCAGACGCTGGGTTATGGCTGGGGAAACAGCATTTTGGCTCTGACCTTTGTCGTTATCGGATGGCCCGCCCCCTTTCTCCTGTGGCGATACGGCGCCAAATTGAGGGCCATGGGGAAGCCGCAGTGGTGAGGCAATGTGTAGCATCTCTGGTGCCCTGTTCAGACACAAACTCATTACTTTTCCCTTGAGAAACCAAGCATGAGTACTCGGAAAACCGAAAAGCGTTGTGAGACGATCAACGCATCGCTGGGGCCTAAGGTATATCCTCTACCCTTCCGAACATGGGTTCCCTATGTAACTGGCATGCATCGTGCTTCTGGGCAGGTCAGTCCTGTACAGTAGCCTCAGTGGCCAGATTTGAGATAGCGTCGATGAAGAGATCGCAATAGCATAGGAGTTGGACAAAACGAGACACAAAATGGAAACAGGAAATCAGCAAAGACGGTTGTTTGGTCGCAAGACCCCTCCACAGCCAGAAGAGCCAGCCCGTCTGACCTTGTTATATTACAGTGCCCGTGATAATCTACTGCATTTTTTGTGCTCCCTTTTTTACCTTTGACCCTTATCGTTCCCTCAAGGCCCATGTAGTGTTACGTTCTTGGAGTCTATTAAATCTCATGCGACCTCCCCACTACCGTTGTGGCGGAGGTTGGATTGGCCCAGGAATCATCTGCCTTGTGTCTAGGTAATTTAACACCTGCCTATCTATAACCGCTGCACAATCTTCCGATGCTCGTTTAGCTTTTCACTCTACTACCAAGTCATTTCAACGTTAAACCTTTCCATTCTCAAGTCTTTTGTCTGCTGTAAACTAGACTCCCAGCCAACACGTATTATCATGTGGTGGATATGGCTGGCGTTGGTTTAGTTCTCAACTAGCTTGGCCGCACTTCTAGGCTTGAAATTTCTTCTACATGAAGGATAATACACTGTATTGTTTGATAGGTACCCTTGCAACTAGAGGATATTGTTTTACACTCATGCCACCACGAGGGTATGCATGGGACAAAGAAATAACAACAAATCTCGGCGCCTTGAGCATCCTCTCCAGAAAAGGTCCTCTGGCATTTCCTCGATGTTTTCAAGGCCCATGTAGGTCTTCCGCCGCATCTCCACCATGCGGATAAACCACACCTGTAACACAAAGTCCTAGTTAGAGGTACGGCCCTGCAAAATCACAGAGATGCTGAGATTTCTATACGTACCAAGCTCTGGATTGACGATCAGGCCGGGCTCGTAGATGTCAATGGCCCTCTCACTGGCCCATTGCGAGAGCCGCGGCCAGTCGACGCACTGGTGCGCCGTCCCGTTGGCGCCGGGCTTGAGAATCCCCGGCTGCCAGCTGTAAATGACGGGCCCCACGTCGCCGTGGCACATGGCGAACATGCGCAGCGTATTGAGGCAATGATCTATATCCCCCAAGCAGGTTTGTGTGATCAGAATCCGTGCCATCGCGGGCTCTGGAGGACAGTGGGCCAACGTACCGCTGTGCGACCTGTTCTTTCTCTTTGTCTCCGCGTCGGCGTCGGGCCAGTACATGTCGTTCCAGACATATTTGTGTAGCCATCTCTGACAGACAGCGAGATAGGGCCATCGTTAGATACAACGTGCACTGGCTGCAGGATCTACTTACCACGCAGTGCAACTCATGGTAGACGTTCAAGCTCCCCGCGTAGCCGGTACCATCACTCAGGGCCACCGCCTCGCCCTCGCGATGATACTCGACTATGGTTTCCCGGCTCAATCTGAGGTTCATTGCTGGGCATTCGCAAGAATTAGCGGATACAATTCGTCGACCTGCAGTGGTGACATTTGCGGATCTAAGAGGTTACTTACGCCCCAGGAGCTCCGCCCACGCCTTCTCCAGCGCCGGCCGCGGCGGGCCAATATAGTTGCCGTGCAAGCCGTCGCCCGAGTTGAACTCCTGCACGCTCCAGTCTATAGCCTCATTTGCAGGCGCTTGTCACAGCAGGGACAGGTCAGACAGATACCCGGCAACAGAGGGAGGCGGCGAGATGAAAACTCACAATACAGGATCTGATCGCGCAGCTCGGCTCGGGTCCGGCCAAGCAGCACAGCCAAGCCGACGGCGACGACCAGCTGAACGATCAAGACGGCGGCGTAGCCCGCCACGGCCCGCTTGCGCTGGTACCACGGAATCGGGCGCTCCCAGCGTGAGTTCTTCTCGCGCGCATTCAGGAGCCGGTCCGTCGCGTCATCGCTGTCGTCGCCCCCGCTGTGCTTTGGACCGCCCATTTGGGCGTAATCTTGTTCCGATTCCATCACCGGATTCTGGTCGAAAATTTGCAGGAGGTACGAGAGACGAAGATAGGACTTGTTTGGTAGTAGGAAACTGTATAAGTTTAGAGCCGCCGGCTTACACATGGGTGCGAGTATGGAATTACGGATGTTGCCGAACTTCCGGGACGCGGGGAGCCGCATGGTATGACTAGCCGCTTACTCCGGAAACCACTCTGACAAAAAACAGGTTAATAGTGTCGCTAGAGACCAATTGCCGTTTTCCTGCATTGTCACTGTCCTCATATCTGAGTTGGGCGAGGCGCTTACTCGCTGACCTTGCTCGCTGACCTTGCAGAAATCCATCGGTGGGTCGGACACGCCGGTTACGATCACCCAACCAATTATGATGCTGCATTTCATCGACTATCATGCCTGTCATTGGCACTAAAGGTTGATACAATGATACAGCCAGCGGCAGAATTAGGCTATACGATATTGGTTTACTGTCAGACTTGGTCATCAAGCGGTGACACGACAGACCACCTGGTGACAGGGCGAATGGGGAATATGCAAATATCCTCGGAAACGACTAGGTAACCGCGAGTGTAGTTATCTGTGCATTGGTTTACTGAGGCTTCATCGTGATACCTTGGTCATTAGGCTACTGTTGATAGAGTAGACTATTCGCCGCTGTGTAGTCGGTAACGATCTTCGCCCTGGGGCATGAGAACACGCGTTTTTGCGGCCCCACCAGTCGTATACTAGTGGTTTCTATGAACTGGATGTACGCAAAGTTTCTACTTGCTTAGGTACCATTGCTGCAACTAGGCGTTCCACAAAGTCAAGGAGAGGGTAATTCCCGAGGACGATTCTGCAGTGACAGCATTACCATCACCGTCTTTGAACGTGGCTTCCCACAAATCAGGTCTCTGGAGGGCTTACACATGTGCCGTGACGACACTTTCAGTTCTGATTTCTCTTACAGAAAACACCAATGCATTGCACTCACTCTACAAGCCAATATGCTCCGTTGACTGCTGGTGGTCGTGAGCGCGCGAGCCGGGAATGTATTGTCATTGTCACCTTTCGAATGACCCTGCGTCGTGGTAAAAGGATTCGAGATGTCAATGTGCTCTGAGAGCGAGCATCTCATTCTGTTCTCAGGAGAAGAGAGGTAACGTAGCAAGAGTGACAGGGAGTCGGCCAGTCCAGCCGGTTAGTCTCTCCGCGGAATAGGCCCTAGTGGTATACTGAACCGCGATTGGAGATAGTGAGCTCAAGTACAGCGGACTCTGTTCATCGCATGAAAATACATAAATGAATCGTTTCACGAAGGGTCATGTTGTCTAGAGTTCCAACAGCAAGCATCAATCACTCAGCCCAGAGCAAGCCCAGTCACAATAACACCAGACCCTAGACGAGAAGTCGAAGTACCAATACGGCCCCTTTGTATCTTCTAGCCTTTCCAACCTCTCAAAAGCCAAAATGCAGAAGGTCGCTCTTCTTACCCTGATCCTCGCGGGCACTTCGATCGCCGCGCCTACTGGTGGTAAGATATATTTCTAGTTCCCGAATCTCGTTGGGTACTACGAGGGCATGGTTTACGTATCAAGGCTTAACGAATCCTTCATCTTATAGCCGACAAACGCTCTGATGCCGATGCCGCTACTCTTTATGTTGCCGATAAGCGCTCCGATGCCGACGCCGCTACTCTCTACGTAGCTGACAAGCGCTCCGATGCCGACGCCGCAACCCTCTACGTCGCTGACAAGCGGTCTGATGCCGACGCCGCTACTCTCTACGTAGCTGACAAGCGCTCCGATGCCGACGCCGCAACCCTCTACGTCGCTGACAAGCGCTCTGATGCCGACGCCGCAACCCTCTACGTCGCTGACAAGCGGTCTGATGCCGACGCCGCAACCCTCTACGTTGCTGACAAGCGCTCTGACGCCGATGCTGCTACTCTTTATGTTACCGACAAGCGCTCTGATGCTGATGCCGCAACCCTCTACGTTGCTGACAAGCGCTCTGACGCCGATGCTGCTACTCTTTATGTTGCCGACAAGCGCTCCGATGCTGACGCCGCAACTCTCTATGTTGCTGACAAGCGCTCTGACGCCGACGCTGCTACTCTTTATGTTGCCGACAAGCGCTCTGACGCTGACGCTGCTACTCTTTATGTGGCTGACAAGAAGAAGCGTTCTGACGCCGATGCCGCCACCCTCTACGTAGCTGACAAGAAGAAGCGCTCTGACGCCGATGCTGCCACCCTCTACGTTGCCGACAAGAAGAAGCGCTCCGATGCTGATGCCGCTACCCTCTATGTTGCCGACAAGAAGAAGCGCTCTGACGCCGATGCTGCCACCCTCTATGTTGCCGACAAGAAGAAGCGCTCCGATGCTGATGCCGCTACCCTCTATGTTGCCGACAAGAAGAAGCGTTCGGACGCCGACGCTGCCACCCTCTACGTCACCGACTAAATGTACCAAATGAGTACTGGCCGCCGCACGGATGCCATTAGGCGATCCCTTATACGAGGCAGTTCATTGTTGCCTGTGGTGTTTCCTGCCAAGAGGCCAACATGAACTTCCATCGGCGGTTGAGGAGTGCACAACTGTGACTAACCTGGCCAACTTGGCAAAGTCACCAGTAACTCTTGTGGACGCACGAATTTGGCGTTCTTAAGATGAGAGCAAATGATACGATGGGTGAGACGCATGGGAGGGCGGGCTATTTCGTACCTGGTTCACACCCGCTAGGAGAGGGGAGGGGAGGCCTGGTGACCAGACTGACTGTATTTCATCTTTGCAACACTCATTTGGATAGGCAGTGCGAGAATCTCTCACTCATTTAACATATTATGAAATAAATCAGGTTTCGGGGATGTACATCATGTTTCAGACCACTGCGCTCCTAGTGGACGGCATCCCGTAGGATAGCAACTAACAAGTGATAGTAGATGGAGTATGTCACGAGTTAGAGCACACAGCAGGGCATATGGGAATTGAGGTCTAAAAGGCTTAGATTCTAAGTGAGTAGAAGTAACGAAAGTAGGTCCCTATATATAGGCAAGTGATTGTGAAACGTCACGTGCAACAGCACCTGACAGAGCTGTTACAGACGGTGGAAATACACGAGGTTATCGTGACAGAGTATATCTACAATTGCGGCGTCCGTGGTGGAGGCGATGCTAATTATTCAGAGCTTTGAAAAGCCACCTCTCCGACTAATTACCGTCGAGCAAACCGCCTTGCCGGGTGGGTCTGGGGGCCTTTTCCAGAGTTCCCAACCCCACGTTGCCTGCTAATCCTGGTGTGTGTCACTAACGATGATTCGCAGTATTCTCTGTATACGGCGTCCTTCTCCTCATCGGATGCCGCCGAGTGTATGGGACAGAAAGACCTCGACATTTTGGGTACTGATCCGCCTTCAGTTGTAAGATTCCGGAGCGGACGAACGTCACATCAACCCTGAACCCGGGCGATGGGTCGCCGATCCTTCAGCTCATCCAAAACAGGAAAAAAAAGGTCAAAGCCTTTGAGCCCTGGGTGTGCAAACCGGCCCTGAGAATAGGATTCACAGTCAGTCCGAAGATTTACCCGCGCGGCGGTGCCCATAAAGACTCCAATAGCCGTTCGGCCATCGCCTACCCTCCACTCCTCTGCTCCCCCACCATCGTCGCACAGTCCTATAGGCGCACCAGTACCAAGGTTCATGTCAAGGAACGCCGTCTCACATCATCAGAGTGGGCTCTGTATGCGCCATGAAAGTCCGTGCGGCCGTCGGTGGAGCATCGATATCTTGTTCTGAAGACTATATCTAGTTAGATCTAGAACCCACTGAGAGCAGAAGATAACAGTTAGGGGGTATAGTGACTGCTAAAAGGGTCTAGCGTGCTAGCAGAGACAGTGGTTAGATATAGTAGAAGAGGTGGTTGTGGTATAGATCGACAATGCTGGCGGGTCTGGCCGATAGGTCTTGTTGCCTTCTCCGGTAAACCTAATGACTATAGGAAATTCGAATTGCTTTACGATGTAGGCCATCTTTGACCTTAGTAGTTGCCAAATCTCTCAAGCCCTACATACTGCTGCTTAGTATGCCCCTCCTCCTGTCGGAGATCGGAGTCCGAGTCCGATGAAGAAGATTGGCCCCCGGCAGAACGCATGCCGCATAGCCCGATGGTCCGTCTCCTCCCCGGCCCTCAACCCCTTCCCCACCGCCGCGTTCTGCTGTGGTCCCTGAGAAGTCCGATGTTGAAGAAGTCCGATGCTGAAGAATTCCAGGATGAACATGCATTGCAGCGGAGAAATCGCCCGTGCGCGGGGTCTGTGAGTCAGATTGCCCGGTTCGTTGGGCCCGTTTTCTGTGTCGGATCTGGGCAATGATAGGCGTGTGTGGTGGTGTTGATTCTTAAGACTCTTCGACTTATGGACCAGGCCTTGATTTCATATAAGTCTTGCTTCGTCCGTTAGCTCCCCCCCCCCCCCCCCCCCCCTTCCCCCCTCCGCCTAAGCCCTTACAACATGAGAATGTCGAGAGAAAAAACCCCGCAGAAGACTTTGGTGATACCGCGCCCTTTTTGTTATCGGACATGGCTGCACCAACTCGGTTCCTCGCCCTGTTCGCCTGTCTCCTTGGGCTGGCGAACTCGGTCTGCGCGTCGGCGGTGACGCCGTTGGACCTCACAGCCCTGCCGGGCTGCGCCGTAAGTGAAGAAGAAACTCCGAGGGGCCTGCTTCCGGGACACACACGGAGGAGCGGCACCCCGCTTACACCGCACGCGTAGGCCACGTGCATCTTGCAAGAGATGGGACGATCCGACTGCGGCTTCGCCAACCAGACGTGCCTCTGCGCCGACACGGCCTACAACGCCTTGGTTGAGAAATGCGTCATTGCAAACTGCACAGTCAAGCAAGGGCTCGGTGAGTAGTGCCCGAAAGGTCCAAAAGGGAAAAACGTCTCGCGACCGAGGGAGAGAGAGGGGGTGATGTGTGTGTGTGTCGGAAGTTTTGCTAACCGCTGGTTGTGTGTGTCTCTTTGCAGCGACGAAGAACCAGACCCTGACGGCCTGCGGAAAGCCGTCGTCGACCAAGACAGACGGCACCCTCGAGTGGCTGCGCGTGGTCCTGTTCATCATTCCGACCTTTTTCTTTACCGTGCGCATGGCCAGCAAATTCCTGAAGCTCTCGGCCTGGGGCTGGGACGACACGACCTTCGTGTTTGCCTTTGTATGGCCTGGCCCCCCTCCCCCTTCTCCCTCCCGGTGGCAGAAAGCCCGCCTAATGCTGCTCAAAAACGGCTAACTGTCTCCTCACAGATTGTCCTCGCGTCGTTTCTGCCAGGAAACTACTTCAGTAAGTTCCAAGTCGGCTGTGTTCCACCCTATGCACCAGAAGACTAACATGCGCGCGTGGGTAGTTACGGAAGCCGGCTCAGGGAGAGACGTGTGGACGCTTACTCCCGACCAGATTACCGAGGTTCTTCTAGTAAGATCCTCCTCCTCCGTCCGGTGTTTCGATATCTTACCTTGGCCCGTTGTATATCAGACAGAGGCTGACAACACAGATTGTATACATATTCAACCTGCTCTATGCGACCTGCCTGTCGCTCATCAAGGGCTCCATTATCCTGCTGTACCTACGCATCTTCCCCGACACAAAGATCAGGAAGGTCCTTTGGGGCACGCTGGCGTTTAACGGCGCGCTCTGGATTGTCTACGTGGTTCCGGCCATCTTCATTTGCAAGCCCATCAGCTTCTTCTGGAACGGCTGGTCGGGGGAGATGGAAGGCCAATGCATCCGGATGCACGCCGCGTCCGTCTCCCACAGCGCCCTCCAGCTCACCTTTGATGTCGTCTTGCTTGTTATCCTAGCGACACAGATCTGGGGCTTGAACATGAGCCCCAAGAAGAAGATTGCCGTGTTGCTCGTCTTCAGCACCGGTATCTTGTAAGTACGAACGGCCACGACAAACCATACGGCCCCCTCCTCCCCCCTCTGTTGCTAACCAACGACAATAGCTTCACAGCCGTCGGCGCTTACCGTGTCAAATCGCTCACCGTCTTCGCTGCATCTGACAACCCCACTAGTATGTTTGACTCCTTCTCTTGCAACAGATCACGCTCCTGTCCCGCCGGGAGATCCTGACCAAACCGCCGTCTTCCAGTCAACACATACGAAGCCGCCATCTGGTCCCACATCGAGCTCGCCACGGGCGCCTGCGTGGCCTGCTTCCCTTCCACGCGCCAGGTCTGGAACTGGATGGTCCCGACCATGGCCGAAATCATGGGTGTCAAGTCCAACCACGGCTCATCAAAGACATGTTCCTCCGGGAGTACATCCCTGCCGCCGCCTTCAGACTACGACGGGAAGCCCTTCGGGAAGCAATCCTGGCTATCGCGCATAGTGGACGACCTCAACACCAACATCTCCCTTCGCGACATGCGGAGCGTCAGCGCCACGAGCCTGGTAGGATCCAGAGACCCCCCAGCTACGCCAGTGCGCGACGGCGAGGTGTAGGCTGCAAATAGAAAAGAAATAAGCGGTGGAGGATGGCAGGGGCAATTGGTACGGCGCTCGGACAAGGGATGCACATACATGACTCGATGAACACAATTAAAACGACAGTGGCGTGGCCAGGGGGGAAGGCAGCACAAACGTGCCAACCCCCGTGTCGGGACTGCTGTTTCCTGAATGAAATGAATTGGTTAAATTCTCTCGTCTTCTTGTTCTCGGTGAAATCCCACAATGTTGTTCAACTTGGGAGGTGACTTGCTGCTGTCTTTAGGACATGTCGAGAAAGTGTGGGATCGCGAGATTCAGATGGCTAATGCAGTCAAGCATGGCGTGATTAGACCTTCTGAGCATATATTGTCAATGCTAGTCACTCAAACCAAATTGGGCTATGGATGGCTTCTATATGATGGGACTGACGATACCATGTAATTGGTCGGTCGTGTTAGTATCTCTTTGGCACCTACAGTGACTACTCAAGCACGCTCTCTCGACTCCAGGTCCCCACTGAGACACCAAGGATTCCCATCACTGGCAGGGGAGGGATGATCGTTGCTCTCTGTATGGAACCGCCGATATCCACTCGTCTAATCAGGTATGAATGCTGCGAGATGGAACGAGGAAGCTCGATCTGAGCGCACATCCTCTTCACTCTCCCGTGGCGACGGCAACGGGGCTTTCCGAGGCTTCCGTATACCGGTGGAAAATCAGCGACGGAGACCCAAAGAGGGCTTGATCACTGGAAGGGCTATAGTCTTGCGGAGACTCCAGAGTGAAATGAATGGGCAGTAGAAAGCAGCCGCGTTCCTTCCAGGTAGGTTCATGTCTATTGAGGGATCAAAAATCAAGTAAAACACTCAACGCCTTTATACTTGAATGAATCGACAATCACCACTCGTCACAGCCTTGCACCATCTATGTGATATCCTACTGAGTTTTATAGCAGGCCGAAGAATAGCCCCAAACATCTGAAGAATATACAAAGAAAAAAACGAAAGAAAGAAAACGAGGGAGTAGCCCATTTGTCTTGTTCAACATGAACTTTCAAGACTCGGGCGCGTGCTGAGGTGTCCTATCACATGAAAGCCATGCCAGCGGCAATCGCCCCGAGGAGGCCCATCAGCGGTATCGTGTTAAACGGTTTTAGAACGGGCTCGCCAGCAACCACCACGGCAATCGGGGACGTGAATACGGGACGAGTGGTGGCAGAGAGAGGGCCAGTAGTGTTCGAGGGAGGCCTGGAGGGGGTCTGCTGAGAGACGCTCAGGGGACGGCTTGAGGAAGAGGTGGGACGGCTGCTGGCGCGACTCGTTGTGTTTACGGACGACCTTGTGACCAGCGTGGGACCACCAGTGACCGAGAACGTCGGCGTGCTGGCGCGGATAGAGATTGAGACGCCCATCGTGGTGTTGGTTCGCGAGCGGCTGGAAGAGGCGGACGACAAGCGTATGCTGGTTTCAACGGGGGCGTTGTTGCGGGTAACGATCGAGCAGGTGCCGTTAAAGTCGCAGCGCGTGAGGATAAACTCGTCCCGGGGCACGGGATAGGTAAGTGTGGTGACAGGGCGGCAGACGCTGTTGTAGCAGCCCGTCAGAGTCGTTACCCTACTGGACAACGGTATGACGGCGGGTATGGTAATGAGCCTGCAGGCCCCGTTCAAGTTACAGGTGGTGGTGGTTATCAATGACGGAGGGTTGACGGTGGGAACCGTGGAGACGGAAGTGACGATAACGTTGTTGTTGGGGCTGATGAAGGCGGGCTGGACGGCGGCACTGGATGAGGTTGTGTTCAGGCTGGGGAGTAAGATGGTTGTTGTAGTGCTAGCGGTGATGGGAATGACCCCCAGTGGTGTCGTGCTCGGGATCGTGGTGGTATATGAATCCGCAGTTGAAGAGAAGGAGTCGGAGAAGCCCACGGTGGTGAAGGCAGTAACGGTGATTGTGGTGAGAGCGATGGTAGTGGTGACCACCTGGCCATTGATACCGGCCAGAACCGCGGCACCCGCAACGAGGCAGATGAGCTTAGTCGAAACCATCCCAACGGTAGACGACACGAGACTATGTCGTCAGCTGGGGAGCGACTCGCGAGCTGTTGAAAGCCCTGAAGACGTTCAAGAAAGAAGGACAAAAGCAAATCCAAAATGCAAGAGCTGAGAGACTGGAAGAAAAGTCCGTAGCTGCTGGGCAGTGGCTTATGCTGCTGTTGGTGCAACAGGGTGAAAGAAGTGAGGCTCAAGCGGGCTTGCTGACTTGATATATGTAGCTGTTGTCCAGGCGGTCATGTCTTCTTGTCTTCGTAGACCAACTACCGCGAACGGCTATGACCAACAGGTGAGAATCAGGACGAAAAGACCTCCGCCGTGAGGTCATAAATGACCAACGGCTCTATCGAGGCTCAGGTGCTGCTGATAGCTGGAAAGGTAGGTAGCCAGGCAGTGTGCGCTCCGCGTGCGCTCTCTCTGTTTAAACCGTTTTGGTGGCACCATGATGGACAGTTGAAAGCAAAATACGATGCGACGGATATGGTTACGGTAACATATAAAGGCATCGTACCTGATAAAAGGTAAAAGGGCCCCAGTCCCGGTTGGATTGGCGTAAGCTGCGTTTGGATGCGCCAAGGAAATTGGCCAACCCATTTGGATCCGGATAAGTCAAGGGCCGTTCAGGAGTAAGACACCGCACGAGAAGGCTTGCGAGAGGGAAAGGAATGTTGGTAATCACGGAACCTTGCCCTCAGACACTGTTCACAACGAACCGGACCGAGGATAGAGGACAGTTGCATTCCTGGAGGTTCGATATGGCAGCCCGATTGCAGAGTGTTTCCCAGGTCTCCTAGTAGGGGCATCACTGTGTGTGCGAGATGGAACATCTCTTGCCCCTCGGATCAGGGTGGTTCTCGCCTGGCCAAGCAAAGAAAAATATGTAACGCTTTTAGCATGTTCCTCTCGATAGTCAAGCGGAGTCGCCACTTATCAACGAGCTTCGCACAGGAGTGTCGTGTGTTCGACCTGCGCGCATCAGCAGACGAGCGCGGAGTTATAAACCTGGGAAGAGAAGGGAGGGGGGGGGGGGTAGAGGTATCAGCCAATAAAAGACATTCGGCGTTGAAAGGAGCAGGCAGTAGAGTAAATGCGACGAGATGTTTTATACGATGATGAGTCTGTGTTGCCCAGGACTCTAATCCTAGTTTTGCCACTATGCAAAACGCCCCGAAAAATGAAACATATCCAAGATGGGTTATTCATACATGACATGATAGCCTTTGGCCCTCCGGCTCTCCCTTTCCTCTCGCCATTGAGTTCCACCTTACACCTTACAGCTTCATGCCGAGAGCCTTGTGCACACGCATGCTCTGCCTAATGCTCAGGTCAAGCATAATCTCCTCACTGCCACCAGGGATGGCGTACGCGCGCACATCGCGGTACAGTCTCTCGACCTTGCCGCCCTGGCCGCCGCGCGAGTATGACAGACCACCGAAAATCTGGGAGGCTTCGCGAGCGCAGAATTCAAAGGTGACGGTGGCTTGGGCCTTGAGACTGGCAATAGCACCGCCAAGCTTGAGCATGGCCTCGGTCTCTCCCATCTTCTCGCACTGATAAATGAGATTCTCGAGCCACGCGTACGAGGCCTCGATCTGGCGCGCCATGTGGGCGAGCTTGAGACGAATGACGGGATGCTCGATGAGCTTCTTGCCGAAAGTACGACGCTTGTTGGCGTACTTGACGGACTCCTCGTAACAGACACGGGAGAAGCGGATGCACTGGATGATGATGCCAATGCGCTCGTGGTTGAAGTTGGTCATGATGACTGGAGGAAGTTAGCAGCTGTGCATAGTTACACGTGAAGTGGGCTGGGGGAAAAAAGGCATACCTCGGAAACCCTGGTTCTTCTTGCCGAGCAGGTTCTCGACAGGCACCTTGACATCCTCAAAGGTGATGTAGGTGGTGCCGCTGGACCAGACACCCTGGCAGTCCATGCGCCTAGTCGTGACACCGGGGCCTCTCTCGATAAGCAGCAAGCTGACACCGTTCATGCCCTCGCCGCCTGTCCGGACGGCGGTGGTGAAGTAGTCGCACCAGATGCCGTTGGTGATCCACTTCTTCTCGCCGTTGACAATGAAATGCTTGCCATCCTCGCTGAGCTTGGCCTCGCACGTCAGGTTAGCGACGTCAGAGCCGGCATCGGGCTCGGTAATGGCCAAGCAGATGCGCTTGTCGCCGTTGAGAATGCCGGGCAAGATACGGTCGACGAGGGCCTTTTGGCCGAACTTGACCAGAGGCGGGCAGCCGATGCCGAAACCGCCAATGACGTTCCAGACAAAACCACCGGATGCGGCGCGGGACAGCTCGTCGGTCAGCAGCATCTCGTGGAAGAGATCCCAGTCCTTGGGGTCGACAGAGGCGACAGTGTTCTTGGTGTACTGGGTCGGGTAGTGGACACCGAGCAGACCGGCCAGATAGCCGCGCTCACCCATCTGCTTGTAGATGGAGGGGTCAACCTCCTTCTTCTCGTCCCACTCGGCGACATAGGGCTCGACATTGTTCTCGACCCACTCGCGGATCTCGGCGCGCAGGGCTGCGTGAGTCTCGTTGTAGTAGGGAGTGTGGTACTGGAGAATGAGTTAGAGAGGCTCCAGACTCCCTGGAAAGAAAAGGAGCCGGGATTCAAACTTACGGCTTGGTACCAATTGGGGTCGGCGTAGGGAACCAGATCGCCAAAGGGGTCCATGGGCTCGGATTCCTCAGTACTGCTGGCGACGGCCTTCTTGGAGGCAGCTTTCTTGGGAACGGGAGCGGAGGCGGCGGGGGCGGCCTCGACGGGCTGGGCCTTGCTGTCGAGGGAACCGACCAGGAGCTTGGCCTTGTACTTCTTCAAGATGCCCTCATTGTGGTACTTCCAGAACTGCTTGGAGGCGTCCTTGCCGGCAACGCGCTGGAGAATCTTCTTGCCGCCTGGAATGGATTAGAAACGGGATAGGAAGGGGAAGACGTAAGGATGCGCACGCACCAGGGTGGTCATCCTGGAACTTTGTGAGGTCGTAGACGTCCTCGTCGACGATGATGTACAAATCCTCGGGCTTGTTATGCGCCGCGACGTCGCTGGTCGAGAAGGTCTTGGACATTATGACTACGGGGTGTGTGGTGGTGAGGTTGAGTAGGATTCAATGCGGTGTGCTGGGAGGGGCGGGCACTGTCCGAGGTGGGAGGATAGAAAAGGAGCAAGGAATAGACTGTTCACTGAAAAGAAGACGATGGGGGATAGGAATGTTTAAAAGATGTCGAGGCCGGAAGAGGTGTACGCGAGTGGTGGCTTGTCTGGGGAAGCGTGGTGGAGGAACGAGTCGCGACGGCCATGGTCGGCAAAGGAACGGGGGCAACATGCCAGACAATCACATGCTTGCGACGAAAGTAAAAGGTACCTTTCCTTGTCTGGGGGTGAAGCTCAGGTGCAGGTGACCAGGAGAGTTACCTCCCTCCCAGCCAGGGTTGTAAATTAGTATACTTAAGTCTAGTATTAGCCTATACTAATACTAATAGTATTTTTAAGCCTATACTAATACTAGGCTAGTCTAGTATAAGGGTATACTAATACTAGGCTAGTTTAGTATTAGTATACTTAAGTATACTAATTAGTAAATAAAAATAAGTAAAAATAAGTAAAAATAAATAAAAATAAATAAAAATAATAAGTTAATATTTTAAATAAATAATTACTATTTTTAGCTACTTTAGTAAGTAAAACTTCTTATTTACTAATCTAGTGACTAAGTAATAACTAACTTATTATCTAAAAACTAGTATAAATAATAAGTTAATTATAATTATTAAATAAAAAAAGTTAAAAAAATACTATAAAAAGTATTTATAGTATATATATACTTATACTAGTTTATATATACTTTTATATATAGTATATATATATTTTAAAATATTATATCTTTATTTTTATTTATTTTTACTTATTTTTATATACTAATTAGTATACTTAAGTATACCTAAGTAATACTAATACTAATAGAGGCTATACTAATACTTACTAATACTAAGGTTAGTATAGTTTTCTTATACTAATACTAAGTATACTTAAGTCTAGTATTTAACATAGTTAAATAGGTAATAGATTTAATGACTAACTAAGAGCTAGAGCTACGGCTGGCAACGGCTGGTCTTATAGACTGGCGACAGGTGGGGCCCAGTGGGGCACCAGCTGTCGGCAGGATATCGGCCCAACCAATGGATCCACTAGCAAGGCCAAGAAGTAGATCTAAAGGTTAGCTATATTGTCCTGTGACAAGTGCCCTCCTAATAATAGAAATAATTATTGTATAGTAATTATTTAATTACTAGTTAATAGGGTTATTAACTATATGCCTTAGGCTTCTATAAGGCTATTATAGCTATTATAGAAAAGGTATACCTAAGGGTTAATAGTCCTTATTATAGTTATTATTATTACTACTATAAGTGTTACTATATTTATTATTACTATATTTATCCTTATAGTTATTAAAGTCCCTATATCTATTAGTGTTATCTTTAATAGTATTACTATTATTATTACTACTATAATCTTAGTTATTATTACTAGCTAGGTAGTTAGGTTAATAGTAGTTAGGTTAGTACACTAGTTAGTTAAGTATATACATAGGCTAACTATAAGTTAGCTAGTAAGGTATATATAGGTATAGGTATAGACTTTAGGCTAGTTAACTATAAGCTAGCTAGCTAGGTATATATATAAGTTATTAATATATAGGCTAGTTAGTTATATATATAGGCTAGTAGTATTAATAGTTATATACTAGTTAACTATAGGATAATTAGCTAAATACTAGCTAACTATAAGTAAGTTAGCTAAATACTAGTTAACTATAGGCAAGTTAGCTAAAAGTAGGCTAGCTATTAGCTACTAGCTAGTAGTTAGATTTATTAAAGTTATAGTAATAATCCTTTGTGTAAATAGATCTATTATTATTATCCTAAGGACCTATTTCTATAGTATAACTAGTAGTATTATCTTTTTCCTTATTATCTTTATCTAGGGTATCTTAACTATAGTACTAGGTAGCTTTATAAAGTAGCAGTAGTAGTAGTAGCTAGTAAACTTAGCGTTAAAGGGACTAGATTTCTTTCTCTTATTCTTAAAGGCGCTAATAGATAGGTTTACCTCTAGGTAGGTAACCTCCTCTAAATCTAAGGTATATTTAATATAGCTTCTAAAGGCGTAGCTAGCGTAGTTAGGTATACGTTAGCAATAGTGTTAGCAGTAGTAGCTTTAAGTATTTTGCCGCTAGCTAGGGGTTTTATATATCCTTTGCTTATTTACCCTCCTATTAGACTATATCCTCCTAGTTCTAGATTAGTATTATCCTCTAGTAAAAGGTAGTAATAATAGTATAAAACTTTATAGCTAAGAGGAGAGTTAGTACTACTAGTAATATAGACTATTTACTTATAAGTAAAAAGGGTAATAATAAGACTATTATTATTAATAGTAAAGATAATAAAGTTAATAAAGGCAACAAGTATAATAAAGAGGGTAATAAAGGCTAATAGTCTAGTAAGTAATAAAAAAAAGTATTTTATAATATAAAGTCTTAATAGTAAAGTTAGTAGTAATATTATTAGCTATAGTTATTAGTGTATATATAGTAAAAAAGCATAGATCTTAAGGGAAATTTAGCCTTATACTTATAGTAAGGCTTTAGCTAGTAACTTTATTACTATTATTATTAATATTACTATTTAAAGGCTTTAATTAACAGTAGCTTTAGTAGTAGTAGCCTTAACGTCTATAAAGGTAAAATAACTAATATAAAGAAGTATAAAGAAAAGTAAAAAAAGTAAAGTTATTAAATTAAAGGTTAGTAATATTAGTAGTAGCTAGAGGTGTAGTAGATCTAGCTAGATAGGTTAGTCTAGTATAGGCTAATAGCAGTAAAAAAATCTACTAGTAGGTATATATTAGTAGCTAGGCTAGTAAAAGGATACCTTTAATTAGTTGCCTTTAAGATAACTAATTAAATAGCTTTTAATAGTAATTTAGCGTATTTACCTTTTATTATTATTAACAGCAGCAGAGGGTTAATTACCTATAGTATTATAACTAGCAGTTATACTACTACTTAACATAGTTAAATAGGTAATAGATTTAATAACTAACTAAGAGCTAGAGCTATAGCTAGCAACAGCTAGTCTTATAGACTAGCGACAGGTGGGGCCCAGTGGGGCACCAGCTGTCGGCAGGATATTGGCCTGACCGATGGATCCACTGGCAAGGCCGAGAAGTGGATCCGAAGGTCGGCCACATTGTCCTGTGACAGTATTAGTATACTAAATACTAGTAGTATTTTTTACAACCCTGCTCCCAGCTTAGTCCCCAGGATGCGTGGACGGACACAGCCGCAGCCAGCTGGAGTGGAGCCGACACACGGTCCGGGGTACCTTTTGCGCCAAAAACATATGACAGAGTACCTTGGCACGTCTACAACATCCATCCAGACCCCCAGGAGGGACCTTCTTCCTTCACTGGGGATTTCCCCAGAGAGAGAGGCGACTAACTGATCGATCGTGTGTGAGTGTGGGGGTAGAGGGAAACATCTGCAGCGAACTTGCCCACTTTGGCCGTCACCGTCAATTGACACGAAGAACTTTTTTTTTTCTTCTTCTTTTCTCCCTCTCTCTCTCTCTCTCTTCTGGCTCGGGCTCGGAGGTATGGCTGGTTTTGGGACAACAGCCCCGTGAATAGCCGTGGAAGGCAGTAACTAGTCGTTAGACTTTGGGGAAAAGGAGAGGGAAAAAAAACAAAAAAAAACACAAGACGATTGGATTCTGCACACTAATTCGTGTCATGTGCCCCATGTGTCCCATTGTTGTCATCCATGCTCCTGCCGCAGCTGCCAGTCTACCGGTACCTGCCTAGTGTACATACACCATATGTACGGTAGTGCACTGTATATTCGCAAGGTCTGAGAGTGAAGGAAAGAGAGACAGACACTCGGGTGCGACCGTCCACGGCGCATGTGATCGCCCACCTGCTGTTTCGGGCGTCGCATATCACCCCCAATCGGTTGATGTCATCGAAGGGTCTCCTCTCTCTCCTGCCTTGTCCCGCCGCTGCCGTTTCTGATCCGCCAGAGTGGGTCCTTACCTCGGCATCTTTTCACTGGTGCTCGGCCAATGGGAAACACGGGGTTGGTCAGGTGAGGTGGGCCTCTGCTTCGGTGTAGCATCACCAGGTACGATGTACATACATCGTGTTTCTGCCGGTATGCCTGGCCGTGCCACGGACTCGACTCCAAGGCATCACCGCTTCCGAGATTGCTGAGCCAAGCGCCGTTTTACCTACTTACATCGTATGCAGTGGTTTACAAACTGCGTGGCATGCTACTTACTGCCCAGATCTTGCCAGATGAGCACGTGCGTGGCCTCCTCTGCACCAGATAGAGACGCGCCTGGCCAACCTTGCCTGGACCGGGGAGACTGCATCTTGACCCTTCGTCAGAATACCAGCCATCTATCGCCAGTGGGCTGGGAAATGAGGGCGTCTAGGTCGTCGGCTATCGCAGGCTTCATCCAATGCTAGATACTAGGTATCGAGTAGTGGCGTTCGACATCTTAAATCCCCCGAGGCAATCGTCCCCGATTCATTGCAAAGTGGCAACATAGCCAGCCATGGCAAACACTACAGTACACATCTCTCCAATCACAAACGAAAGCAATGGGTCTGTCCGCCTTTTTTTGACCCTCCCAAACGCCGGGTTCCTACGCCAAAACAACCAGCCCACTTCAGGTATCATCCCATCGGCCACAGTTAAACCGCCTGCATAAATTCCCATCTAGCATTCATCGACATCTTCCCAACCCCGCGAGGCCCACCACGCTAGGCCCCGCGAGGCTTAGCCTTGGCCGCCGCCTTCTGCTTCTTCTCAACCTTTAGCTTCTTCTTTTTTTCCTCGTTCTTGGCGTCCAGCTTGCGCTTGGCCACCGCCTTCTCTTCCTCCGTCTTGGGGATCACCTTGAAGAAGCCATCAAGCCGGACCTGCTGGCTGCTCTTGAGGTTTTTCTCCAGTCTAGCAACCGCCGACCGCACGCGGTCCTCGGAGAAGCCCTTCTCCACAACGAGGTATTGCACCAGGCCGTCCATGTCGGGCTTCTCCCACTTGAAATCACACAGCGGGTCGTCCGCCGGCCGTACGTCGGGGTTGAGGAAGAGCTCGCGCGCGTCCTGGTATGGCCAGTCATCGGGTACCACATACTTCTGCTTCGGGTCGTTCTTGAATGCCTCGACGAGCGTCTCCAGGTCGCCATGCTCGCGTATCAGCTTGAGCGCTGTCGAAGGGCCGATCTTGGGGATGGGGTCGAGATAGTCGCAGCCAAGGAGGATGCAAAGGTCAACGAACTGTTGTTGGTAGTCACAAGTTAGACGGTGTACGCCCCATCGGTGACTGGGCCACGACGTAACGTACCTGCTTGCGCTCCATGCCAAGGCCAGCGAGCACCTTGTCAATGTGAACCTCTTGAATGGGCTCCTTGCGCGCCTCACTGAAGGTCAAGTGGCGCAGGAGAATGGGTGTATCAAACGTGAGGGTATCCATGTCCTCGCTGGCTGCAGCGTACACCTTGCCGGCACGTGCCAAGACGGCACACTGGGCCTCAGCTTCGGTGGGAGCAATAATGTAGGGAATGCCCATAAGCTTGAGTAGCTTCTGGCAGTCGGCGTTGTGCTCGCGGGTGACTCGCACCGTCCGGCGGGAGAACTTCTCAACATCTTCGGCGGTGCCTGTCTCTTTTGCCTCCTCGAGCCCCGCGGTAGCTTCTTGCTTTCTCTGGAATCGCTTGGCCAGCTCGCCAGACTTGAGCTTGGGCGGGGCACCGTCGAAGACGTAGAGGGGCTTGATACCGTTGTCGACCATTCGGAGGGTTCGGTAGAAGAGACCCATGAGATGCGACGTCGTCTCTCCGCTCTCGTTCATGAGCTGCTGGCCTTCGGAGCGTACGGCGATGAGGAAAGAGTAGATACTCATGGACCTGGGTGCTCGTTAGCGGGTAGGTAGGTAGGCAGGCAGCGGTGGTATTCGCTGGCATCACTCACGCGTCCTGTTTTTGCGTCAGCACATGCGTCGGCGGGGAGGCAATCCGCCGGGACTTACAATCGCGACCTTGCGGCCAAAGTGCGCCTTGATCTCCCCCTCCTTGATGGCATCAGGAGCCTCCTCCTTGATGATCTGGAAGAGGTGCTTAATACCCATCTTGAGTCGCTACCTACAGGCGATGTGACTGATTCAATGCGGAGTTTTCGTTGGTAATGATGCGCAGCGGCGGGCAACGGAGTCGATTCCAAGTAAAGATTATGAATTGCGGCTCGTAAAAGCGACGAGAGGCAGAAGCTGAGAATTGTTGGGAAGGCTTCTGTCGCGAACAGTGACGACCGGGGAGGGTGGAAGGAAAGAAAAGGGACGAGCACGAGCTCGACGCGCGCCGCACTTCCTTTCGGCGGGTCATGACGCGCCTTCACATTCGAGTTTGCCCCGCCACGCGTTTAATTGGGTGGCACTGCCGCCAGCTGGGAACGAGCGGCTGCCATGCGGCCCTTTGGCAATATCATGACTATTGAGGCCATTGACCCAGCGTATCTATCCTACATTAGTAAGCCCCCCCCCCTGCGAAACAATTAAATCATTCATTCGGCTTAAACTATGAGGCCCATGAGCGCCCAGCTGCTGTAGTCTGCGCGGCGTAGTCATTGTTAAGAATTAGGAGGTAGTTGTGGTTGTTGGAGCACCGAACCGCGATTTTCATATGCACAGGAAACATCCAAAGGAATGGTTGGCTAGATGACTTTAACATCAGCGGAGCTGACTCTTCCTGGCAACACAATGTGTTGAGCCACAGCCAAACAAGGCCACACCACGCCGTAGGTTGCGCTGGCAATGCATGTCAGCAATAGGGACAAGTCATCTCCGAATCTCGGACTGGCTGACAGGAACCAGCCCCTCCATGCCTGCAACAGCTCGCTAGCGGCAACCCCGATTGCTTGGCCCTAAATCCGATGACTTCTCACACGAGGCTGCCGCCTGGCGGTCAGCGCCCGCAGTTTATCATCTCGTCGGATGTCTATCTAGGCTATCTCGAGAATTGCAGCCTGGCCCTCCATGTCAGTTGGATCGATTCACCCTAGTAGCTAGATTCAATCGATCACGAACTATCAACTCGGCGACATCATTTGGTAATAGATGCTTTATATCCTACAAGACTCTTTCAAACTTAGCTGAAGAGAGAGATACGCGACAGCTCAACGTCTCTTGGGAGGTATCATCCCGTCTTCACAATGATCGTCCCCAGTCTGGAGGTAGTATATCCTACAAACACCACTATCGCACCACCAGGATGGCGACCACAAATAGAGTGAGCAGGCGTTTCGGTCCTGACGGGTCTCGAGCTTTGTCTAACGCGACATAGCATCATCTGCATCCACGATTTGGGCGGGTCTCCCAAGGCGACATGGCACCACGATGAGTCTGGTAAGACCTGGATATCAGATCCCGACTTTCTTGGAAGCTTCAACGACTCGGTACGAATATGGGCGTATGGATACAACTCTGAGCCTGTGGCAAACATGACGCCTGCCAGTATTGCACTTCATGCCGACGACCTTCTGGCATCCATGATGAATGGATATAGGGAGTACGGCGTACGTATAGATGTTCCACGCTAGTCAATGTTGGATCCTCATTTCTCTGGTTCTAGGGTGGCCCTACTATATTCATAGCCCACGGACTTGGAGGAACCATAGTCAAGAAGGTAAGCTCAGCAATTCCATTCACTTTCTTCACGTCCGATGTAACTTCTGGTCAGGCAGTTGAACTATACACATACTGTCCGGAGTACTTTGTCATCAAAGACCTTGCAGCGAGCATCATCTTCTTGGGCACTGTTCATCATCCGACCGATTCCGAAGGTGTTTTAAAGGCAGTGAAGGCAACAGTGACGGCCGGCTTAACGAAGAACTCGGCGGACCCGTCAATGGATGAGATAAGACAGTTTTCGGAAACTGTTAGGCAAGTCAACAACAATTTTGTCAACAAGACTATGCCCCGTTTCCTGATCCTCAACTGTCTTGCCAAGCGGTCAATCAAGGTTACCGCCGATGACGGTACATCTTCCAGAAATCGAGTGGGTATTGTCGACTAGCTTCGCGTTGGTACTGTTGCTGACGAGCAGGTCAGATCGTTTCCGGGAGATGCGGTGAGATGAACTCTGCCAACGTCAAGAATGTGTCGTTGGACTGCAATCACCTCGAGTTGACACAGATTCCTTCGCCATCAAGCCAGGTCCATACAATTCTAACCGAGAACATTGACGAGATAATACAAATCATCTTGGCACGAGATAAGAGAAGGGTCATTTTCTCGCCACCGCCGCCAGCAACACTGAACACGGCCGGTCCGTCGCCACCATCGCCGCCAGATCCTGGTGAGTGCACCTATATGAAGGAGGGTAGTTTAATAAAAAAAGCACGACGCTAAACCACTGTACTGTAGAAAAGCTTGGAAGGCCGTCACATATGCCTAAAGGTCGGATCATTCCTGGCCCACCGCAGCGGGTCACAGACACGGAGTCGTTCCAGCTGTGGGCAAGGAAGAAAAATGCTGGTGAGTTCTCACTCGACTATCGTGGATTCACCTGGATCCTAAAGACAATTGCAGAATACATAGGGAAGTATCGAGACACACTTCTCAACAAACTCGGCACATGGGACCAAACACACCTCGGCCATGATATCTATCCTATACCCGGAACATGCACCTGGATACAATCAGACCCGACCTTCAGGGACTGGCTGAAATCAAACAAGGCCGATTGTATGTATATATTTGGAGGATCTGGGTGCGGCAAGACGTATCTGGCAAAATTCATTGCCAACTACTTGGCTGGGGACCGCCCTCGACCGTCTCCAACATATGGTAACGTGGTGCTTTCGTTCTTTTGCAACGTGAGTGCAACGGGGAACAAGCAACCTTCAATCTTGGAGTACTTCATCAAGTCACTCTTGATGTCTACCCTTTGGTTCGAGTCATTATCCTCCCAGTTTTGGTATCTCCAAGAAGATGGCGAAAAGCTTGATCTCGGCTCACTCTTCGAAATCCTACGCCAGTTCATGACAAGGCATCAACCGACCACGGGGCCTCCAAGAACAACAGAAGTCTTCTTGATCATAGACGGACTTCAGGAGTGCGATGTTACCTATGTCCGAGATTTTTTGCATCTGGTTGGCAGCCTTGTCGACAGCCCTCCCCCCCGAGGACCACCGCCTCCGGGGTCAGTTGGGCCAGCCCAACACTTTGCTCGGGAAACCGTCAGATTCAAATTCTTGTTTACGCATTCTCCAAACGAAGTCTTTTCTCTGGCATCTCCTCGGGCAGTCAGAATCGGAATGGCTGACGCAGATGTGGAGGAGAACATCAGCAAGTTCATCGATGTGGAGGCGAAAACAATCTTCAAGGCCAAGAAGCTTGTGCAGTCTCCTGAAGAAATATGCTCATGGATAAAAGGCAAATCGGGAAGCTTTTTCTTCTTTGCAAAATTCTTCCTGCACAACTTCGTTGCCACGGCCGAGGATGCGGATGCCTGCGAATTCTCCATGACCACAAGACTGATCCCTTGCCCGGAACTGCTCGGACAGTACTACGGTTATGAACTCCTCCCGATATTCCAGAACATCGACAACCAGAACTATCTTCTTTCAATCCTACAGATCGTCATCAATTCCAAGTCATCAATCAGTAGGGAAGAGATACAAGATGCTATCGCCTGCCTTCACGACGATTCTCGTTTGAGGCGTCTCGATATTCCCAGTGTTCTCCAGCAAAAATGCCCCCGGCTCATCCATGTTGACGACAATTCCGAACTCCGTATCACACACCAATCATTCTGTTCTCACTTCAGGACATACATAAACAAAGAACAACAACACGCTAATATGGCCTTTCTGTGCCTGAAGTATCTTTCGCAGCCCATTTTTGGTCGCGATTGTGATGATTCGCCAACGGAGCTACCTAGACATCACCCCTTCTATAATTATGCAGCGCGTTGGTGGGAAGATCATTTCCGTCTCTCGGACAGAGAGGGGACAAAGCTGTTGTCCCAGCTTGGTCATTTCATCACCTCCCCATGCTACAACACCTGGTCCTCACACCGGTCTTGGAATATTGCGACAAGTCAATGGGCTCGCAGAACTCCAATGTACAATGCGATGATGTCGAATCCCTGGATCCCCCCGGCTATCACTCTCACAAAGGCCAATGCCGGCCATCTCATTAGCGAGCTTCAAGACACTTACGGCATGGTTGAACCTAAGTCTAGGTCATGGAAAACTAATGCATCAATCCTAGCCGCGAAATTTCCGTACAGGCTTGATGCTTTTCCCGGCTTGAACAGACTGCTCGAGAACGCTCATCCAAAGCCAGACTTTTCTGTGCGAGATGCAGCCGGCCACACACCTCTGATGACGGCAGCGATGGCACCAGACGGCTTGCCTGACATGGTTGAGTTTTTGCTTCAAAAGACGCAGGATGTCAATGAACGAAGCTCCGTCCACGGGGATACAGCACTCTTACTTCTCTGCAGGTTTCTGGACCTGCGTGATGACTTGCTCTTCGGTAATATGCTCTCCCTGTTCCTCGCCGCGGGGGCAGACCCCAACATATCTGGACTCGACGGGAAGACATGTCTTTTGGAGGCATGCGAGAGGAATTCGGTAACAATGGTAGAGCTATTGCTCCGCGCCGGCGCAAGCCCCAATGCTTCAACTATTGACGGAAACACCCCGCTCCGCGAAGCATTGATGAACTCAAATGTGGCAATCGTCGAAAGACTGATCGCACACGATGTTGACTTGGATATGAACTTTCCCTGGCCAAGTGACCAGACGCCTTTGACATTTGTCATCATCGAACGCAACTTTGACCTTTTCAAGCTGCTTTTAAACACATTGGACGACATCAATCAACTGGATGGCGCGGGATTCGCAGCCATACACTTATTGACAGCGCCGGAGTATATCGAGTGGCTTCCTCACCTTCTGAGAAGACCCGATGTAGATCTCAACCTTCTCTCGAATGGGTTGGAGGACGATCGCACAAGGGTCTTACGTCGGGCCCCGCTAGGCTTCGCAATCTTCCATGACAATTTCAAGGCTGTTGAGATGCTTCTCGAAGCAGGGGCCAATCCTTGTCGCTGCCCGGGAGCAACGGATGATACACCAGTTTACATGGCGGTGAAGTTTGCCAGGACAACAAATTATAAAAATAGGTCAGTGAGCCATGATTTGAGCCCTGTCGCAATGTCTGAGAAGACTCTGGCATGTTTGTGTAGAAGACCTTGAGCTGAAATTTATGACAGCAAGCATGACAAGAGCAAACTCGACAACACTGGCAACGTCGATATTTTGGAATTGCTAGTGTCGTACCAATCCCCTATCAACACGTTATTGAACCACAAGTCAAAGGAGTACGCAAAGTCTCCATTGAGATTGGCGGTGCACCTGGGGGACCAGAACATGGTCGAGTTTCTCCTACGGCACAGAGCTGACCCCACACTGGAGGAAGCCTATGGACTTCTTGGTCCTCTGGATGCTGCTATTGTTCACGGCGATGAAGACACCACACTCGAATTGGTCAAGACGCTTCTCGACAACAATTTGCCCCCCAGCATCAACTATCTACCGGAAGACAACAACCAAGCCGACCATGTACTCATTGCAGCGAGTGAGCTGAAACCAGCACTGGTCCAGCTTTTACTTCACTACGGCGCTGACACGAAATCCTTTTTGCCACCCTCTCCACATTGCAATTCAACGCCGCTGCTTTGTGCGGTGAAAGAAAACAATGTCGATATCTGCAAGGTGCTCGTAGAGCACGAACCTGACCTGGTCAACTGCCAGTTCGAAGAGGGACTTGTATGCGAAGCACCAATACACGTGGCCGCCAGAGAGAGACACGTGGAAATAGTACGCTATCTTCTCGACGCAGGTGCCAAGCCCGATCTGCTCTCATATCATTGGCACGAAACACCGCTCTGGTCGGCATGCTACGATGGCAAGCTCGAAATCGCCCAATTGCTCTACGACAAGTCTCCAGAGACCCTCGAAACCCCATCCTACAACGGCAGCACTCCCCTCATCGTCGCCTGTGAAGCCGGAAACCTGCAACTGGTAAGGTTTCTCCTCGAAAAGGGGGCCGACGTCAACGCAAGGCTCTCCATAGGCGAATCGTGCGTCCATAGCGCGGTGTCGAAGCACAACGGTGCTGCGCACAAGGTCGTCGACCTGCTGATTCAACACGGGCTCGGTATCAACGACGTTGTCGGCGCGATCGGCTTCACCGTCCTCGGCGAGGCTTGCAGAGTTGGCGATGCTCAAACTGTCCGGATGTTGCTCGAGAAAGGAGCAGATCCGTCCAAGGGACAAAAGCCGCCCGGAAACACGTCCGGGGCCTGGCGGTCTGCTTTGCATGTAGCGGCTATTGGTGGGCAAACCAAAATCGTCGAAATCTTGCTTCAAAGTCATCAGCTGGCCTCGTTTGTCGAAAATGTCGATTATTACGGGGATAACGTCTTGCATCTGCATTCCCCAGGCTCTCTCGCCAAAGCCTACGAGATCACAAACAAGATCTATAGAGCCTGTCAGAGGCTGGAGTCAGAAACGGGAATCGACCACTTCCAAGCGATGCTTACCGTCAAGAACCGTGATCTGCACACGCCCATAGACATTGCACTGGGGGGCCTCCACGAGCGCTTAAGTGACGAAGCTATGGCAAACACTGACGAAATCATTTGTCAGTACGTCGGAGAGCTAACCGCAGAGGACCAAAGAACCGTTTTCCACCACAAACACCTCATGATAGATCTCTCTATTCTTCTCCTACAACGAGGCGGATACGATCAGCAAGCCGTTAGGCTACTACAGACTTTGACCATTCATGTGTCAATCAAAGAGCTGAAGGATCGCTTGATTGATACGGTGGCATGTACGATATGCTGCGACGTCTGCGACAGCTCCGACTGCTCCGACGACGACGACGACGACGACGACGACGAGAACGAGGTCATGTATTTCTGCCGGTTCTGCCGGTTCTGCCGCCTCGTCGTTTGCCAAAGTTGTGTCGATAAAACTGAACGAGGCCATGGACTTGTCCGTATTCCCATTGTGAAAGATAGGAGGATGTTGGACTTCAATTCCGAAGAGATCAATCGGGCTTTTGATATCTTGAAAAATGATTTCGTCGTCCGGCAGAAGCCTGTGTTCGATAGAAGTGCTTCGGCGGCTTCTTTCGAGGTAGACAGCAATTCTGACAATACGACACTCTCACTAGCTCTGCTTCATGCTTTCGGATACCTCGAGTTCCGACGCCGAGCCTGGAGTCCATACTTGCCTCTAGCTCCAGTGGTATACAAAAGGATACAGCCATGGGAGGCAGTAATCGAGCTTCCCAGACGAGATTTCCAGGAATGGGTGTGGCACACAGAAACATTTCCACTCAGATTGCGTAACGAGCTTTACTATTTCCTGGAGGCTGGGAAAAGAATGGCTTACAGTGACTTGGAGGCTATTCAAAGAGAGCAGGTCATCAGAGATGTTCCAGGATTGTTTGCTCGGCAAGGTGGGTCTCAAATTGATGAGCGGGTTCCGGCTCGGACTAGAGGCCAAAGACGGATGAAGGAGTTCGACAGTCATTGAAACCGAGAGACCAGAAACGTAGCCATGTGTTTTGAGAACCACCGAACCACTAGCGAATAAACCACATCTAATAGAACTTATTCTTGGTCCAACAAGAAGCTCTGCAACACAGCAGCGTACTTCTCTGGCTGCTCCAGATGAACACAATGCCCGCCATCACTGATTGTTACCCACTTTGCTTTCCGAATGTTTTGGAACCAAGGCTTGATGACAGGGTCAGAAGCTTCGTCAAATTCGCCATGGACAAGCAGTGTGGGAACTTTGATTCCTTTACTCTTCTCGATCCAATCGTAATCTGATAGCTTGCGTCAGCTCTGCATTGCACAGCAGCTCCTTTTTCCATCACGGTCTAGGATCCTTCTTGTACTTACTTCTCAGGTTTCCAGTGATTGTAATCTCACTCGGCCCGCACATGGTCGAGTACACTGTATGATCATTCTCCATCTCATCGAAGGCGTCGGTCAGAGCTTCTGGGAAGGGCCAGACGCGGCACAAGTGCAACTTGTAATACTCCAGGACGGCAGCCTTATACTCGTCAGACTCGTAATCCTTGTCTCTGTCCGCATTCTCGATCGCTCGACGGACTGCCTCAGGCATGCTCTTCAACCACGCGTGTTGGGCCTGCTCCCAAAGCTTCATGCTGGCGGGTCCACTGGCCAGAACCAGCCTTCGGATCCTGAAAGCGAGTGGTGATGACGAAGGTGTCGCGACGACGGCACCAAACATTGCACCCCATGAGTGGCCGTATATGTCAAACCTCTCAACACCCAGATACGCGAGCAGATTCTCCAGCTCGGCGATGAAAAGTTCAACTGTCCAGAAGTCTTCGTCGCCAATCTTGGAGGGGAAACGAGTAGATCCACCGCAGCCTATCTGGTCGTAAAGAATGACGGGCGTTTGCGTGAGGGCATGATAACGATTGAAGAGCGGGGTGAGGTAGACATGCGGTATACCGGGGCCGCCATGAAGGACGACGATGGGAGTGGCTGAGGAGGAAAGGTCACCAAGGACGCGATAATAGGTTTCTGAGTGACAGGATGGTGGAATCGAGGGGTGCGAAAACGGTACTTTGCCTTCTTTGGTCTCGAGAACAGTCATGATGGCCTGATTTCAGAGAAACTACAATGAGAAGGAATTCAGGATGAGAAACGGTGCTAACGATGCTGACAGTGCTGACAAGAAATGGGTTGCTGGAGTAAGGCTCGTCACCCCATGTGCCAAGTCAGCTGACTTGTATCGAACGATCCAATCAACCTGATCAGACATGATGCAAATGAGCTACCAGCAATTCAGCGTCAGCAAATTAATTTTGGTAAGTTATTCTAGGTAGAAGACAAAACCTATCCATTGCTTTCAATGGATTGTTTCGAAATGAAATTACGATACAACTAAATACATAATAACAGGCAGTGGTTACAGCATACTCGAATTTGTGACAAAGTCGGTTACTATTCGCAGTATTACTGAACACGGACTCAATCAAGAACACAAGCAGAGAGATAGTCAACAATAATGAATCTACTTTGTTGCAAATATGATTCATGCTTCCTCGTCAGAATCGAGTGGATTCTTTAAATGACTGCTGAAAATGACTTTTCTTATTTTCCTTGGGAATTTCTTTACGGTGGATGTCGAGTTGGGTATGAAACATCTGGCCATTATACCAATTCCTCATATAGTGCAGGGACTTGGTGCCCCATATGCAAAGGCAAACATGCACTCGCAGAGAGAATCACTGTGCAGGAGACTTGAAGATTAGGGCCCATTCATCAAAGTGCCAGGCAACACTTTCCAGAAGTCTCATCTCTAAAAGAGCCCACAATCTTCTGCGGGTTGAATACGCTACAGAGTGACTGCCAACGTGGAAAATCCCATCGTCTATCATATGCATCGATTTCAAGTCGAACTATCACAATACCCCATTAGGACTGAACAGAACTGAAAACTCCTGCCACAATCAGCTCAACACAAACCCGGCAAAATAGTATGTGTCACTTCATATGGGAAAACAACAGATGCAGCGGCTGTGGTGAGTGCTTCGACCGCAAGCTAACAGCTTGTGAATGTGTTAAGTCAAGGGATTCCAGACTCGCCTGCGACAGGATATACCGACCAACCAACCAGCTAGATTTCCAATGCCAGGGGTGTCTTTTTGCCGACATGCCGTGGAAGAAACCTAACTTCTCGGCAGATGATGACGAAGATTACAGGGACGGTCCAAAAGGTTGGGACTACGACGAAGCCGAGCCTGACAAAGATCATTGTGATGGTTGGGAATGCGATGACTCTGACACAGACGGTGAAAACGGCTTTGAAGGGAGGAGGAGGATCTCGAAGAGTAAAACTAAAAGTCCAGGCTGGAACGGAGCTAGCAACAAGTTGGAAAAAGAACGCAGAAACCGACGAAGCAGAATAACCTTATTCGACTTGATACAGACCACAAACAACGGAAGGCGATCAGATAATATTTTTGACGAACCTTACAAGTTGATTGTCTTGCTACTTAGCTGCTGGAACAGTTTGTAATCGCAAAAAGAACTTGCAAGCCCGAGTATCAGTGACTTTGACCACATGAACTCAATAACTGAGCGTATTAGGGAAGAAACATGAGTACGTTTGTTTAACTAGTCTTATTATTACCTGAAGATTGGAAAGCATCTGTTATGAATCGAATTGTCCTGGGTGGCATGTTCATCAACTGAAAGGCGCGATCCAGGAATGTCAATGTCTCTACATATAGCTTACTCATAGATTCATACTGCCAGCCCTTTGTGTCTTTGTCTAGATGAATGAAAGAGAATCTACTGGATCCAATGATCAAAGTAGGGGCATATTCTAGCATTCATGCATCATTCAAGAAAATCAGGTTCCATTGAATATTATTCTTGCAAGATCCGTGGTCGTTGAGGATCTACAAAAGAAGACTGATCCATCACTCAAGGTTAGTTTCAATCATCGTCGAAAGCTCATTCACTCATCCACCTAAATTCATAACCTAAATCACTGCACACTTTACTGTCGAATAGGCGTTTGAATTCTCCTACAATAAGCAGGATGGGCTCCAAGAACATCAACAAAAAGCAGGCTGTCATCGCTGAGCAGTCTTCCGCGGTCATTTCAGCAAGCTATCCCAAGGCGCCGAACAAAACCTTTCATCTGAAGAGCCTCAAGCTAGGAAGCGAGCTTGAGAGCACTATTCAAGGTACTGCCGGGAACCCAGAGACCAACAACAGCGCGGAGAATGACAATACAGTTGATATAAGCTACGAAAAGCTCGAACGTCTAGAGCACCGAATTTTCAAGAGCATGTACGCGGATCGCAAGAACAGGCTCATGGAGATCTACTTCTCTCGCATGGGCAGCAAGGTTCAGTGGAGTAGGAGCAAGAAAGCTCGCCGGCTGGCTAAACATCGTTGTGCGTCGCGGGATGAGAAGAGGGGGATGGACTAACAAGAATTGCAAAGTCCACGGTTCCAGGACAAGACGTGAAGAGGACATAGAAGTGCGACAGTATAAGAAATGGTGCTTGGTAAGATGGTTGCGGAAAACACCACAATCATCTTTTTTGCGTCCTCCATGTGATTACCAACAATTGATTGTTTCTATCCTCAAGCAACGAGATACCTATGGCTGCATATCATAAGGATGTTTCACCTATGTCATTTCCGAGAATCCCTTCGCCTCTCCTGACTGGTTCACCCCACCACGAAAGTATGGGCGCCGTTATCGCCAAGTTAGCGCTCAGTTGGAAGACGGCTTGACATTTTGTTTATGCAGGGCTTTGACTTCCTCATCTAAGCCAGGGATTGGACCTTGGACAGGGATATTTGGCGCAACCTCGTTGATTGGAAGTGGCTTGACCTTGGCTTCTCTCTCAACACCGAACTCTTTCAGCCAAGCCGAGAATTGCACGCTTGAAGAAACGAAGACAATAGGACCCAGGCCAACCCACGCATGGGCAGCGGCGCACATCGGGCAATGCTCGCCCGAGGTGTACACTGAAGCCTTTGCCCGCTCCTCCGCACTGAGGTTCAGTTGCGCCCAGCGGGCGAGGGTGAACTCGGGATGAAGAGTGCCGTCGCGTCTTCCATCCCCGGACTCGCCCGTGTTGACGCGGTTGCGGTCTTCTCTGATTATGCTGCCGTCTGCGCCGACAAGAACAGACCCGAATGGGTCATCGCCTGCGTCGAGGGCTTCCTTTGCGAGTTCGATGCAGCGTCGAAGGATCTTGGGGTCTGGATCAGAGGGCATTGTGCAGCTGCAGGCTTGGTAAAGGAGGAAGTTTGAATGGATTTGCGCCGATGCTGTGTGATCTCCAAGCCGTAGAAAGGAGGGGATAGCAAGTTGATGTAAGAAGTAAGAAGTGGTGATGCGGGAGAAACTTGGAGACATTACGTGGTGGGGCGCGGAGGAACATTGTCCCAGATAAGAAAACCTGCCCTCAGAATTCTTTCCAGTTTGTGTAGTTTCGACTCTAAACGAATCGGACTTGAGTACGGATACGTTAACAACATAGAATGATGCAACGATAACGGTGCCTGTCATCGTCGCCCTTTTGCAATAAAAGCTCCCTAAATCGACGCATCCAAATGCATTAGCATTGAGTGTAATTACTCCACCGACTCCAAATATGCTGCTCTATGCACTCTCTTCTATCTATCTTTCCCCCCAAAGAATCTTATAGAAGATATCTGTAGTCAGGAGACAAGTCCCCTAATTCGATTTTCTCTTCTTGGGTCAACGTAGACTCGCCAGCAGTTCTATCTCTCTCTTTGTTTGCCGACCAACAGGCGGCAGCATACGCCAAACAAGATAAGACACTGAGGATGACGAAGGATATACTGATGCTATACCCGGGGATGAACTTGGGAGCATCCTTTTTCAGGAAAGCAAAGACGGCAATGATGCCACCAATGTTACCAAAGCCGACTTGCCAGCCGCTTCCAATCGACCGCCGGTGATGACCACCAAGATTCATATTGAACCAGCAAACTAGATCAAGAGGTGTTGGTTAGCATAGCACTTCCCAACGATGTTCACGAGGGAGGGGACGAACCAATGATCGGCATTGCCGTATAAGCGCCTGAAGCTACAGCGTACAGGCCGAAGGTCTGCACAGGCGTGTTGTCATGGATGGAAATGAGAATCCCGTAGCCGACGATGGCCACACAGATCGCGGCAACGGCAAAGCCGAATCGATGCCGCGTCCTATCCGAGAGGAAAGCAAAAGACATCGAAAAAACAAAGGCCACAACCCAAGGGGGCACGCTGTGCAGCTGCGTCTTGATAGGGCTGTACCCATACGTCTGGAAGATGCCGGGTGCGAAGTAGGCGTATCCGTAAGCCGTGACGACGAGGCCGAAGTACATTAACCCTCCTAGGATAATCTTGTAGTCCTTGAAGACTCGTCCGACATCACGCAGAGTGATGTTGCGCTCGGCAGCGGGATTGCCCTGGTCCGCGCGCAGGCGGGCAGAGACAAAAGCCTTCTCATCATCGGTGAGCCATTTAACGTCCTCGGGGAAATCAGGCAGGCAAAAGAACAAGAAGATGGCAACGACAGCAGTCAAGGCCCCCTCTAGAATGAAGATGAAGCGCCAACCAGAGTAGCCGCCGACGCCGTCCATCTTGCCGATCGCCGCTGCGAGGAGACCGCCGAAGGCGCCCGCGAGGGTGGTGCTGTTGAAGAAAAACGAGTAGCGGCGCTGGGCCTCGTTGCGACGGTACCACATCCCGATAAGGTAGAAAGCTACGAGAAATGAACGATCAGCCGTCGCACGCAAATATAAAACCGTTGTGATGCGATGGTGACCGCGATCGCTGGGCAGAGCATACCTCCCGGAAACATGCCCGTCTCGAAAACACCCAGGAAGAAGCGCGTCGTGCACAGGCCGGCGTAGTTCTGCACAAAACCCTGGAGCAGGGTGACGAGGCCGAAGCCGAACATGTTGATGCTGAGCCAGACATGGGGCTTGAACTTCTTGAGGAGTATGTTGGAGGGGATCTCGAAGAGGACGTAGGGCACAAAGAAGACGACGAGAGCGCTGTTGTAGCGGGTGCCGGTGAGGCCCAGCTCCTTGGAGAGGCCAAAGACATTGGCGTTGGCGATATTCACTCGGTCTATTGAGCGCAATTCTGTCAGCACTGGTGCGATTCAAAGGTGACTGTTCCGCGACTGGGATCTGCTGGGCATCGATTGTCGGCCGTGCAGGAGAACCATGCGAACTTCCGTCCAAGTCTCCGACTCTTCATAGAGCTGGTGAACTCTGGTCGGATAACACAGGACACGGGGGGCGGGCTGCTGCTCGCCGGGACTGCAATGCGGCAACGGTGTCTCGGTGAGCGGGGGAAAACCTACCCAGGAAGGCCAATAGGTACATGATACACAAGAACGGGATCACACGGAAGTCGATCTTGGTAATGAGCTTGGACTCGGTGGTGTGAGGGGGGCACTCGACGGGTGCATCGTCATCGTAGGCCGGGAGATGGACCTCGGTCGCATGCTCGAGGGAGCGCGGCGGCGACTCTGCCGGTTTCGTCTCCTTGTTGTACTGCATCTTGACGGTCGTTCGAGCTCGGTACTCGTTTTCCTGGTTGTCTTTGGCCGAATGCGACTAGAGGACAAGCAAAGACACCTCGCTGGAACAGGGCCGACGAGGGCTACACTACGGGAAACCGGAGTAATGGGGCAGTGATGGAAGAAACCCGAGGATCACTTAGGGTGGCAGCCGGCTTATATTTCGTCCCATGGTCATTTCCGTCCTACCCGGACTGTCACGACTAGTATGACTTCTGTCTTTTGTTAATAAGGTTTGATTGCCTTTTTTTTTTTTTTTTTTTTTTTTTTTTTGCGCCCGACCTCGGCGCGACGACTCACAGCCAAGACGTGGTCGGTGATCCTCCCGGCTCCGCGGCCAGCTCTCACAAAGTTCGGTCCGCCGCTAGTCTGGGCCTATGGCTTCAAGCTTCGACTAGGGGGTGGTTGGAAAGGGTATCGATCATCCCTAGCTTGCTTGCTTGCTTCCTAGCCCCCCAACCTCCCAGTCGAACCCCGCGTTTTGTTGCGTTCTGTTTGCTTACAGGCGGGCATCTCAATAATCAGCATGCAGGCCATTGGCTCTAGCCTAGAGCGTTGGAGCCACACGGGTTCGGGAATGCGGGAGCTTATCCATTGAGGGCGACAATCGAGACCGGCCTTCGACTCGTGACCGAAGCCACCTTTCATCCGTCTATTGGCCAACCGGCTGCTTGATTATTCTCCGAATTCCTTGCCAGAAGCTCCCAGAGGCTAGAAATCGAACTAAACGTTGGACCGTCATTGTCAAAAACTGCCCCGTAATCACCTATCTTTTAAAATGGTCGCGACCTCCACCCCGGCCAGGAACCGGACTTGGCTCTGCTCCACAATGACCGCCGATGCAGGAACTGTGAGTAATCTAGTTGATAGATTAAATTGTTTGTTGGTGGCTCGCTGAGAGCAATCACTCGCCTTTCGTCTTCATACTGCTCGAAAGCCGACTCCGGAGAGTGTGTGGCCAGGGCTTTTCGGACCGGTCGACGCATGCTCTGCAGCTCAGGTTTGGTACCCCGCAGATTCCAAGCTAAGCGCCGGAGATGCAGACCATTTGTAGCTTCGGTTGGTGTATGTCCCAGCGCTCAGTGCCTCGGTTCACGTCTGCTTTGCATTAGTCCGTTGATTTATTCCTTCTTGCGTTCAACTGACAGGCCCAAACGGGAAGCAATCTTCAAAAGAAAGGGGAAAAAATTGCCTTGGGGCATTTGACTTTTTTTCCCACCCTCTCACCTCGAAGACACAAATTACTGAATTGAAACGGGGCAAGGGTGTATATCATGTTACGCGTGCAGCATGCGCGTGCAGGGGCTGGACTGGAATATCTAAGTTCAGATGATACCCTAGTTGTTGTAACTCTGTTGACAGGACAAATCCGCGTTGATAATGAACCATGTGATTGATGAAGTAATCCTTAAATGCAGTCGGAAATATCCCTGGTCAACATGATGTATGTGATTACATGCTGAACCATCCGCTAGCTGTGAGGATCAAGGGCGCAAATCTTGTTTTCGTTTAGGGGAATATGCAATTGGGCGTCCATAAAATTGTCATATTAACAAAAGAAAATGGCATAGTTTTGAATGACAACGCGAGAAAAGGTGAACTTGTCAGGATTGCCCGTGCCCTTCACCATGACTGCCGCATGCCATCGGCTCTGTTGGGCTTCGAAGCCAGGAGATACCTCAATGTGGTTGTGTGTGAGAGACTGCTTTTGACAAAGGAACTCAGTTGCTTCATCAAAAAGGATTAAGTCCCTCCAGCGTCCGATTTGACGTCGACCAGAAAGACCAGAGAGGCATTTGGGTTCATTTTGAAGGTATTAGTGGTTGGTCATAAGCCGCGCAATTTGCCCAACTGTAGTCCAGACCCTCAGTCTTAAGCATCTTCAAGAGTGTATCCAGTTACATTGATTTCAGCGTGCTTTTCTCGAGAGAGCGTCGTGGTCATAGCCGAACAGTAGGTCAGCACCATCGCTGCTAAGCCAGATATCCACCTGGACCCCTGTGCATCCATCCACGAGAGCAGAGAACAAAGCATAGGGCTTCAGGTAGTTTCTATACGAGTGAAAAGGCGGAGGGGTGACAAGACGGGATTATTCTGTTTGGGTCGTACAGCGATATAAGCCATAATTACAGCACACTAATTATAGATCTACTTTTATATAGTTAGTAGACACTTTATTCTATCAATATTACAATTATAAGCCTAGCTTATACTACACCCCTACTACTATACTCGAATAGTTAAGTGTGTTATAAGTAATTAAAAAACGTATCTATAGGTTTAATTCCTATAAAATACCCTTAGTTTAGATTGCGTGTGGATCCTCAAGGGGCTCTCAATGTCTAGACTTTAGCAAGATGTACCTAGTTAGACGGTTGATAAAAGAGTTAGTCGTGCGGCGATATAAGCCATAATTACAGCATAGTAATTATGGGTCCACTTTTATGTGACAGATGCCTTATTCTATTCGTCACAGTAAGCTAACGGTGCAGGACGTCTCCGGAATTCCCGTCTGCCACAAGGGGTTTGTTGGGGATGAAATCATAGGGCAACTAGGTTTCGATACGAAGACCGACTCATGAAAAAACAGCTCAAGGTTAACTGCAGCTGGAGATTCACTCTGCTTATGCGAAAGAAACTTAGAAGTCAGACGAAATAATAGAAGTTCCGACTGTGAAGCCGAAAACTACGTTCCGATTCCTGGTTATCCGACACACACACTGAGAGTCCAGGTTCTGGAAATATTGCATCAAAGAAACCTGTCACGATAGCTTCATTCTTCCACAGTCTGCAACTGTCTTGTCATGTTCTTTATCACGTGGCGTTTTAGTCATTACTCGCGTATCTCACCTACATATATATAAATATTTTATATATATATATATATATATATATATAGGATCATTCTTTCCATAGTCATGTTTATGGAATAAAGCTCCAGTCGTCCTTTTGGACCATGCCCAACACAAACGATGTGCCCGCCAAGCTCCACTGGTCCCCGTCGCGTCTGACGGACGAGATGAAGTCGTCGTCCCTCGCCTCCATCGGAGTGGCCATCAACGTCGCGTCGTGGAGACACATTGCCATTGCCTGGACTCGTAGGTCCATAACTCAAGTAGGCTCAGCTGGCGACGAATTGTTCCCCAAATCGTACTATCACCCTTCAGAGAACGACGTCATGGACACGCAGGCAACTCACTCTACCGCCGTCGCCATCCATCACTACGCCAAGGAGTTCCTGGACGGAGGATACACCGCGCCCATCAACTATAAGTTCCGACATGCTAGCCAGCTGTGGCACCGCTTCCTTGGTCTTGACACCGCCGCTGTCACGGACGTTGACGTAGGAATGAACATTGATGACCTCGACGTCATGGAGGCCGCCGAACGCTCCCGTGCCCAGCGCGAGCATCAGGCGTCATGTTTATGGAATAAAGCCTTTTAGACCTGAATTCTCCAATGCCCTGCTGTGTGCTCTAACTCGTGACAAAACCCGACCTGGACAGATGAATTGCCATTTAAGCCGGATGCCTTCTTGTCTCAGATGGGATATGGCCTTCTTCGGCCACGCTCGGCGATGAAAAGCTAATGAAGTGGCCATATGCTTCTGAATATTCGGCACATTGTGTAGGTGATCAAGCCCTAGGGTTATGTTGTCGACTGGGAGGTACGGCAATGGTGGAATGAAGGCACAGGGGCACAACCGCGGCTCATGAGTTACGGGGAGAGGTCATCTAAGTTCTATGTTTAATGAAGAGTGACGGGTGGAGGTCGCCAGTACGTCATCCATCTTGCTGCGCCGCCACATCGTATTATTCGACACAACAGAAAGATGCTACTACGTTCTTGATGCATGGGGGCTCACTGTTTAAGGAACATAGTTTGATGTCGCCGCGTCAGTCACCTTAAGAATAGGACATCATGCGAGCGTGAAGTCATCACGGTGACGTTAGCCCGGCTGCACGTTTTGGGATCGAGGCTCGTGGTGTTACCAATAAGACAAGTGATCATAGTGTGTCTTAAGATCTGTCAAGATCGATAGATTCCCTAGTTGGGCTATTCACAAAGATATATCGCAATACTATGCCATTATACCTTGTGGGTCTCTCATAGCGATTCGAACTCCAAAGGCAACCAACGTGATCATGGACGGCATTAGAACCCAACACACAATCCAGACCTCCCGACCTTCCCCCTTCCTCAATGTTTGACAGCGCAAGCTCGAGTAGGAAGCGTTCGGCTGCAGCAACTCTCTCGTTTGCCAAAGTATGGATGTCAGGGGAACCAACCTTAGAAGAATGCCGGGTGTATGTTTACCTGCTTCGCGAAGATCAATCAGGTACAGGAGCAAACTAAGCGACATATAAGAGTGAAACTAGATAGATATCGGAGATAACTGCTAAGTATATCCAAAACACACGCGAACACGGTGTGCACAAGCTTCTGTGAACGCTCAGCCCAGGGCCGCAACGAGGAAGCTCTGGAATTTGGGTCATAATTCAAGACGATTGAGTCAGTCGTTGATACAGCCCTTACCGTAACCAGGACCAGGGTCGGTTTGAACCTTCTCAGCATCCGTACTCTATCATGTCGGGGTTTGCCCTAATCATCTCTGCTCTATGTGTGTTCACTCAGTGAGTTGTGCTAAAGTTCGTCGGTGTGCGAACGACGAAGTTGTGGAAGGGTGGCCGAGTTGGTTATGGCGCCAGGTTAAGGTCAGCTTAACATCTGTTTCCTGGTGGGGCAACCCGCGCGAGTTCGAGTCTCGTCCCTTTCATCACCGTTTTTTGCTGGTGTTGATGATATGTATGAGTTATTAATTTTTAGTTCGTCTACGTCTATTTCTGGCCACCTCCCACCTTTATAACAAGAGAAAGGGGTATGCTCATGTGATAAAGACAATGGATGGTACCGAAGGAATAAAGACATTTAGTGTAAACTAGTAAGCGTAATGCATTTCCCCCATTCGCCGGACACGCATACATATTTGACCGTCTCAACTAAATGGACTTTGAGCTAAAACATACCCAAATGGCTCATGAGCTAAAACACACACACCAGACCAGTGACAAATTTAGAGTTGTGTGTGAACCGATAATGCCGCATTGCTTGGTTACCTACGTCAGGCGCACGAGCGTGGCAGCGCATGATCAGATTGGCGCTGATCCGGTCAGGGGACATGTTGTAAATAAACCCCTCACTGGGAGGCAGCCCAAGTTTGTTGCAAACAACTTGCATCATTCACCAAGCGAGGCTTGGCGCATTTTCCCTAACAGTTTCCGTTTAGATGTCGACTTCAACCTGGCCGTCTGACGCGAACGGGATAGAGAGTGAGTTGCATCGGCTTGCGCTTGGAAGGACATTGGCGGCTGGGCAGTGGCGGCAACACGGCGAAGAGGTTGTTGAAACAAAGCGATAGCGTACGAGTTTTATTCGACCATCACTTCGAGCAGGCGTTTCCATCATCGAACCCCTACTTCAGATGGAAGAAGCCGAACGTCCGCGGACCCCGGACTTGATCGACTGGAGTCGCCCGCTGTCACCATGGGCTGATGAAAACCCGACGACGCGCACCGCTGATGCCAATGGCGGCATCGACCACGACTTGGAGGCGGACCGACCTGTGTCTGCCAGCGCCACGGGAACCGTGAGTACGGAAGCACCGCCGTCCGTGTATTTCACGATACACCGGTGAGTCCGGTCTACCAGGGCTTTGCTGCCACCCAAATGACAAGTACTGATCGCAGACGAAACTGCAGGATTCGGCGTCTCGTACTCGCAAGTATAGGTACTTGGCTCTTATGTCTGTTATCATGTCATTTTCTAATGGATCTCAGATGACCCGTACACTCTGGACCAGCTCCGTGAACCGCGGATGAACCTACTGGTTGTACGACCTCTTGTGGATCGTTTATATGACCCCGACGACCCTGCTGTTGGTCTGTTTCTCCGCGGATAATGCTTCTCCATCGACACCTTTGGCTGACGAGGCTATAGTCTACTGCCTCCTCGCGAATCGGATCCAATTTCTGAGGCAACACACTAGCACCGCGCGTCAGACCGTCAATGTCGCCCGCGCCACCCTATGTGAGCTTGTCGCCAGTCGCGTGTTGCGCCGATATCATGAGGATCATCCCGGCCAGATCGGCCTCCTCATTCTGGCACATATACTTGTTGAAGGGTTTGACCCCTTCCAGGGCGCACCCGAGGAGGTTGAGAGCGAGTGTCGCCAGCTGCAATGGCCCATCCAACGACGCGACGGGCATGAGAGGAAGCTCACAACCTTGGAGCTGGCAATTATTTCGGAGAGCAAACTCTTTCTAAGTTCATCAGCATGCCAGAGATTGGTTGACGCCGTTTGGAACGGAGTGGTAACCTACACCCCTCTGTCCTTTGTCGACATCCTTCCAGATCATTACGAACACGCCTCGGTTTCTCTTTATGAACCGCACCAGGCACCGCTGCTTGACGTGAGACGTCTGTTGGTACCATGGATCCGACAGATGACAGAGCTGTTCCAGTTCATTACCCTCGTCATCCTATACATATTGACAATGGTGAACCGGAGCAGTCCCACTCTTAGTGGGTGGGAGTGCGTCTTTGCCATATACACTGCGGGATGGACTCTCAATGAATTCGCAGCCATCATCGAACACGGCTGGGTTGTCCACTCGCAGACCCTGTGGTCGTTCCTCGACATCACGTTCAGCCTCATCTTTAGCTGTTACATTTTCGCGCGCATTTACGACACCATGGGTTATCAAGGAGTTGTTGCAGACGGATACGGCGTGCACATTCTCTGCGTTGCTGCTCCTGTTCTTCTCACCCGTCTCGCATTCACCCTGTTACCTGACAACATTGTCTTCATAGCCATGCATGCCATGATGAAAGACTTTACTCGTCTGACTTTCATCTCCATTTGGTGTTTCATGGGCTTTTTCCTTGCCCTGCAGTGGCTGGTGGGAAGCAACGATGACAAGTCCGCTGTAGGCGGGGGCACAGCTGCCCTGACTTGGTATGAGACATGCAAATGGCTCATATGGACGTGGTTCGGACTGGACGGCACTGGCATCGACCGTTCTGACGAATTCCACCCGATTCTCGGTCCGGCACTGATGATTGCATTTGCATTCCTCGGCAATATTCTGTTTCTTACGATTCTCGTCGCGATTCTGAGCAACACGTTCTCGAAGCTAATCTCTGACGCGCCCGCCGAAATACAGTTTCGCCGCGCCGTACTGACGTTTGCGGGCGTGAAGAGCGACTCAATATTCGCATATCCACCCCCATTCAACCTCCTTGCTCTCGCGGCACTATTGCCTCTCAAGTCGATGCTGAGCCCGCGATCCTTCCACGACGTCAACACCTCACTCATCCGCGCCCTCAATGCACCAGCGTTGATGATCATTAGCGCCCTTGAGCGGCGTCGTGTGGCACACCCACGCCGCGCAAGGTCGCAGTCACTTCTCAACTGGAGCTTCAGCGGTTTCAACCCACACGGAGACATCCAGGCAGTCTTCAAGGTGGAACCGCCGCCAGCTGTGGAGCGGGAGCTGGAAGAGCTGGACAACCTGAGCGATGTTGGCTTCGCGGAAAGCGAACTGGGCGACAGAGAACCATGGGACGTTGGCCGATCAATGCCGAGACGGCGACCGGCTAAGAGGAGGCGTCCCGCAAGAATGGGATCGCCAATCAGCATTGTGTTTCCCCTGCCAAGTGTGCAGCGTGCTGGCACAAATGAGTTCGAGCCATTGTCTAGGTCACCTGTAAGGCGGCAGTGAGTAAGCCTCAACGCCAGCATCTCCGATACGAGTCTTTCAGATGGTCTAAAAAGGCAGAAACAGATTGATAATGGTGTCAGGATGCACTAGCGCACGTATGTGAGTGCCTGGAGGCGAGGACCCCGTAAAGATAGACTTTATGCTCCGTAGTCAAATAAAGTAACATCTCAAGCAAATCTAAGAGGGAGATAATTGAGCTTGCTGTGACACGGCCTTGGAAAGCCGTTTTGGGACCATACAAAGGCCTTGAGTGCTCGGCAAATGATCGTATATAATTCAATTTAGGAGTGCTTTTACCTTCTACTTGAGGTGATCATTGGTCATTCCTGCTTTGCCTCGAGAATAGTTTGGTTCGTGACACCTAGCTACAAAGAACAAGAGCAGGTTCATTTAGTCGAGTAACGTTTGATCCTATGCATTGGTTCTGAGGGCGGTTTCACTCATGTCCACGGGAGCCTCAGACAGTTCGTCAGATCTCCGGAATGGCTCACAGCGTAGCCCAAAATGAAAACAGCCGACAGCAATCAAACGAAGTTTGTAGAGACATTCGCTTGCTCTCGTTTGCCATCTACGAGTTCTTTGAAGCCGGGTACAATTTTGGCGGTTTATCTAATTTTCATACAAACTGCCCTGAATATACCCTGGTAATATCCTTCGGATTGCACTGTGGACAGATTTCTTTCAGCCATGATCCGCACTGCTTCTTTTTTTGGGTTTAGTATCGACAGTCGAGAAACACGAGGAAGAAGACAAACATCATCAAACAGCTTGCTATCTCAGGTTTTGTAACTCTCGATATTTGTGACAGCCATCATCGAGGAGATGGTGGCTCTATGTTTGGTGGCCCATGCACCTACTTCCACCTCTTGATCCTGCCAACCAAATTCGAAGCGATCATGAACCCTGGTCTCTTAGGACCTGGCTTGTTATCCTCTCACGTTCACATATCTAAAGTCTCGGCGCAATTGTTAAGATCCCAGTAGAAGAGCAAACTATTATCTATGCTTGGTGATACCGCAAGGCCGGGGGAATGCAATTGGGGCGATGTTCGATCGCAACATGTAAGCCCTTCCCCTGCATTCCAACCACCGAGTTGATCGAGACAAAAGCTGAATTCAGGCCCTTGGATGGGTTTGAATGACAGCAATTACGTGGGTTGGAAGACAAAGCTCTATGAGCTTGGTTCAGAAGATGGGGTTAGCCCCCAAACCTGGAGCTGGATTCCGCAAGTCTTTGAGGAATAAATATCTTGGTGCTTTTCCTTACCCACCTCAAGTTGCAGTGATTTGCACAGTCCTTATCAATCTAATTTCTTTATTCAACATGGTGGCGCTTCTTCGCGTTGTCGCCTTGGCCGCTCTAGCCGTCCTCGCCGCCGCTGTCCCTGCCAAAGATGCTCCAAAGTGCTGTGGGCGATTTGCACGAACTCGCCCTCCGGCCAACTCATTGGTCGTCGATGCTTCAGGAAAACATCCCAACAGCTTCACTCGTCTCAATGACGCCGTGCTTGCCCTGAATAACAGTACCAAAGAGCAGACCATCTTCGTCATGCCCGGTATATACACCGAGCAAGTCCTGATTCCGAATTACATAGGACCTCTCACCATCCAAGGCCACACCTGCGACGCTCGTTCCTACCAGGGTAATAGGGCTACTCTCACCAATAGGCTGTCGCGTACCATGCCACACATTAAGACTAATGACCCAACCGCTACTCTCCGTCTATGGGGGGATAATATCAAGATCTACAACCTCAACGTTGCCAACACATTCGGACGGGCCAAGAAGAACGGCCAAGCTCTCGCAGTCAGCGCCCAGAACACGAACCTCGGCTTTTACGGCTGCAAGTTCACTGGTTACCAGGATACCGTCTACGCAAACGAGGGGAGACAGATCTATGCCAAATCTTTCATCAACGGCGCCGTGGACTTTGTCTTCGGTCAGAGAGCTTCTGCATGGTTCGAGTCTTGCGATATCCAGACGATCGGTAAAGGCTACATCACCGCCAACGGCCGCGACGCTGCCGACAACCTTTCTTTCTACGTTTTCAACAAGGCCAACGTCACTGGGACTAGCGGCCCAGCGTCCGTCACACTCGGCCGGCCATGGCGATCATTCTCACGTGTCGTTTTTCAGAACAGCGCCCTTAGCGATGTCGTAAAGCCCATTGGATGGGTAGCCTGGAACGACTCTTCAAGAACAGATAATATTTATTACAAGGAATATGAGAACACAGGTCCCGGATCCGAGGGCGTAAGAGCCAACTTCAGCTCCAAGCTGGATGCGCCTATCAATCCTGTCACTATTCTGGGTAAGGGGTTCGAAAAGGAGTGGTGGGTTGACATGGGCTACTTGTAGAACGATTGAAAGAGAATTTCAGGAGTCCAATTATAAGTTTTCTTTCAATATAATGAAAAGAGCCTGAACAAGGCGCAGCTGTACTGTTATCATTCACGACCATACGAGAGCAAAAGGATGCTTAGCTATTCTGACCGCTCCACACCGCTAAGTGATAAAAGAGAACTAGGAAGTCCAGCAGTTTCAACAATCTATTAAGGCTATTTTAACGCCATTTGTTCATCTAGTATTTGGATATGTGTATCGTAACTTACAAATAACATTTATCGGAACGTTGCCTGTGGCAGAACACGAGATCACCCCAAATCACCTCCCTACAACTGAACTTGGCAATTCATCCGCTGATGAGTTTGAATTTCCGGCAACTCTTATCATTATTATATGGCAGACCACCTGTGATGACGAAAATGGATCCGTAATTGCCACTGCGCAATTACGGCTTATATCACGACACCACCAAACAAGATGCACCTCTGTCGGGGACGTACCAGGACCTAGGAAGTGACGAACATTCTAGCCATACTCCTTTTTAGCAATGGCTCAGAGTCCTAATGAGTTCCCTCTTTCTTACCTGAACTGGTTTAAGGTCAAAACTTGAAAGTGATGGGCCAATGGGGAATAAATATATAACTATTCATCACGGCATTCGGTTCCTCTCTGTACAGTTGTGTATTAATCCAGGAACGAGCACAAACTGTGCCAGTCGGCTGATCAGCCAGCACGCTCATCATCGTCCAAACGTGCGCCTTGCATATTATGAAGCTCGTCATTTGAGCAGCTTCAGAGTCATTTCGCCAAAGCCACCATACATATTCTGGAATCTAATGGTGCTCAGCTCCCCTTAATGGTTCCCTTCATACAGATGGTACTGCCCTTCTCAACCAAAATCTCATAATTATTGTCACCCTCGGTACAAGCTGTGCGGATGGTGTATTCATCACCTGCATACACCGGCGACATGGCCCTGTAAACAACTTGCCGCACCTCTCTGCCATCCTGTCCGTACATGTCTCGCCAGTAGTCGAGCATGTTGATCAGATTGAGAGGTCCATGGACTACAACATTGGGATGACGTTCAATGTCCTTGGTCCAGGATTCGTTGTAGTGAATTTTATGGCCGTTGAACGTCAGAGCGGAAAACCTGAACAAACCAACCGGTGACCATCGAAGATGGCGGACCATGACACCGCCTTCGCCTTCCACATCGGCGACGGTAGAGGGTCCGGAGACGGGCGGTCGATCGCTCCGCGGTGGCGTTGTATTTACGGCATGTGAATAATCAACCTCCGGGCGGAAGATCCATGACCTGGGAGGATGTCAGTTCGCGTCTTCTGGTATCGTTATGAAAGCGACTTACCGCTGATCCTTGACAGCTAGACCATCACAGCCCCAAAGCTCCTTCTCAACGTCCACCAGCACCATCTCATCACCGCTCCTGCTTCTCTTCGGCGTCGCTGCCACCAGCCGCGTCCGCTCCTCGACTTCTTCGCCCACCTTGAGCGAAACCCCCTCCGGAAACTGCATCCTCCCACCAGCCCACATTCGCCGCGTAAACGGGGCGGGCGCGTTGAAAGTCTTGTCAGATCCGTCCATACCCAGCTCGCTCTCGACGCCGGCTGGGGTAAAGTAGACGAGGTGATAACCCGGTGGTAGCGGCGTACCCTGTACAGGCGCGTCTGCTGAGACGTCTTGTCCGGGATGCAGCTCCTTGCGGTTGAGGGTTAGGCTTAGGCGCTGAAGCTGGTTGGAGTCAAGGACTTGTTTGCGGACGACGCATTTGCTAGCAAAGGTATCAAGGAGCTTCGAGGCGGCGTCCGTTGCGTTGGTCGTCAGAAACCGGCGGCCGGCGATGATGCAACGGCGGACGACCGGCCTTGTTTGGTGAGCTATTAGTGATGCCATCATGAGAGCATTTGAAGGGCAGCGACTGGGAGGAGTGATATTAGATTCCTTTGGGGACGGCGATGCCTCTATTCAATTATCATAGTCAGTGAATCTGGCAATTCGCTCCACTGCATGCATCATAGAACAATGCCGGTAGCTCTGGCAATTTGTGGAAGCAAAGGCAGAGGAAATGGCTGCAAGGTGCCGTACGCGTGTTGGAGCGATGGCGACTATTAAGGAATGTGTCGACCGAAGTAGCGCCGATCCCCAAGCATAGTCTGTGGGGTAGCCGGCCTCTTCGGGTATATCCCTTCCGGCTTCTTCATGTCTCGCTGAGGTCAAGAAGCCGAGATGGTGCGTAATAGACTACGTGCTTCCTGACGACAAAGAGGCTACAGCTACACAGAAAAGTCCACAACGCGGATTTGGATTGTTTGATCGAGTTTGGAAAATGATAAAACTGTCGTCATAGGCAACGCTGCAGAAAGTCGAGCCCCTCAACTTGCACAGGATCATTGGCGTACAGCTGGGGATCTAGGAATAATAAGCCCAGATCCTCAAGTGCATCCTCGCCCTCCCAGTTGGTACGCATGAGATTAAGTATTCGCCATCCACTGTACCTGGTATTGTTTGCCCAAGAGGATCCTGAGTAGTGAGTAAACCATGCGCAGGGCTCATTGCTAATGTTTCTAAGGGGCCCAGACCTGTCGTCGAGGAGGGGGTGTTGTTACTCGGTGCGGGTGCTGGACCATGGCCATCACCGTTGATTCTTTTTGCGATAGATTCGTCTAGGTATTGTAGGAAAAGATCCAAAACATTATTGTTGATACAAGGATGTGGCGTGTGAAGAAACTCGATATTGAACCTTGTAGACTGATGAAGCAGAGTACATCTTATTCGCCTACATGTGTGCAAAACATGATGTGTGATAGGCCCTTCCTTGCATTTCCTAGCAAGCTCCGTTCCCATTAAACTGCCCGCCCGCCGCGGTTGAAGTTTCTAGTAGCTCCGCGGCAGCTGGAGGACTTTCTCGCTGATGTAAGATAGAATCATCTCACGAGAGACGGGCGCGATCCTGGGAACCAGAATTTCGCGGAGATATCTTTCGACGTCGTACTCGGCGGCATAGCCCATACCACCGTGTGTGAGCACCGCACGCTCGCAGGCTGTGAACGCCGCTTCCGCCGCCACGTACTTGGCACTGTTGGCGGCGACGCCAACCTGGTCCTGGCGGATGGATGGGTCGTCGCGGCTGGCATCGTACAATCTCGCGGCGTGGTAGGTAGCCAACTTGGCCGCCTCCAGCCCCATGTATGCATCCGCCAACGGATGCGCGATCGACTGGTTTTGGCCAATGGGCCTGTTGAAAACAACACGATCCCGCGCGTACGCGGATGCCTTGGCTATGGCGGCGTAGCCTAGACCTAGCGCCTCGCCGGCCAAGAGGCACCGCTCAGCATTCATGCCGTGGAGGATGATCTTGAAGCCTTGGCCCTCCTGGCCAATGAGAGAACTAGCAGGTATGTGGTAGTTGTCAAAGAAGACCTCGTTGGCGTCGACGGCGCGTCCGCCCATCTTCTTGATCTTACGCATGTCGAGGCCCGGCTGCGACTTGTCGACGTCGATGCAAAAGAGCGACAGGCCTTCGCTCGGTTTGTTGCAGTCTTCGTAGGCCTTTGTGCGCGCGAGCAGGATCATTTTGGAGGCGACTTGCGCGCAAGTGATCCAGATTTTCTGTCCGGTGACAACATACGACCCGTCTGACTGCTTCTTGGCCGTTGTCGCGAGGCGTAGGGTGTCAAGTCCAGAGTTGGGCTCAGTAACGCCAAAACAAGTCCGCCACTCGCCGGAGATGATCTTGGGTATTGTGCCCTCGAGTTGCTCCCGCGTACCGAACTTGGCCAGGGGCTGCGTCGCATAGACATTGGCATGGATGGATTGTGCGCCAGCCATGCCCGCGCCGGACTCGCTGATAGTCTGCATCATCATGGTCGCCTCGGAGATGCCGAGGCCAGAACCGCCGAGGGATTCCGGGAGGGCGATGCCGAGCCATCCATCCTTTGCGAGCGCCGCGTGAAACTCCTTCGGGTCTTGCTCGTTTTGGTCGTGTTCTTGCCAGTAAGTATTGGGAAACTCGGAGCACACCTGGCCGACTGCTTCGCGGACAGTGAGTTGGTTCTCTGTGAAGCCGGTTGTCTCCATGATGTTGTGAGCTGGTGACGTCGAGAAGGCCGCAACTTTGGGTCTGGATGTTGGTGCGGCCCGGCGCATGCATACGGTTGACTTTACCGCAGGCCTCATAACACGCCAGAGATTTCGTGTCAATAATTCAGACATCATGGACTGGTTGCTCAAGAGCTGAGTGTGTGACCACGGTCTTTGATAGATAGAGAAGAAGTGCCCAGCAACTAAATGCAATTAGGGTTGCAACAGACGACCAGAGGTCGTGAACGCCAACTTGTGCCGGCCAAACAGATGCAGAGGTACGGACGGTGTTGTCGCCCTGAACAATTGCCGAATGACGACACCAAGGTGATTGACGCTAGGATTGGACACTAAGCTGGTTGGGGACATTGCCATAAAGCCGACTCGGGGAGAAAGAAGCCGAATCAAGCCCCCAATCACTTGGGGAATCGCATGTTTCCCCTTGACTGGACAGAGGTGACGGCCATACAAGAAACATCATAAATGGCAGCCCAGCGACAGGCATAAACACCCGGATGTTTGACTTTCTCGCTCAGTCGTTAGTATAAGGACTACAAGGGCCATCGGCGTTGGGTCTGTGACACCAGCCATTGAACAACATATTGTTTTGGTCCGCATCCAACGGCATCCACCATGTCTCCCCCAAAAGCCGTGCTGGCGCTTGTAACCCCCAGGGTCGCAGCCATCACAAGAGAATGGGGACCATCCCTCACATCACGACAGGTCCACGCATGCACACGACCATTTCCCGGGCATATGCGTGTAATTCGTTACAGCATGACGACCTCGATACGGGCAGAGGCTAGGCGGGAACCTCTGCCCCTAGAGGGCGTCACCGTCGTCAGCCTCGAGCAAGCTATTGCCGCACCCTTCTGCACCAGACAACTTGCCGACATGGGCGCCCGAGTCATCAAGATTGAGCGCCCCGGCGTTGGCGACTTCGCCAGGTCATACGACACCCGCGTCAACGGAATGGCCTCACATTTTGTCTGGGCAAACCGCTCAAAGGAGAGCCTGGCCCTGGATTTGAAGAATCCCAGAGATTTTGAGGTTCTCAAGAGGCTCCTTGTCAAGGCGGACGTGTTGGTCCAAAACCTAGCTCCCGGGGCAACGGAACGCCTTGGTCTAGGATACAATACCCTCGAGGAAACCCACCCCTCTCTCATCGTCTGTGATATCTCAGGCTATGGATCCGATGGACCTTATAGAGACAAAAAAGCGTATGATCTCCTCGTCCAGAGCGAAGCAGGCTTCCTCTCAGTCACCGGTAACGGACCGGAGCCGGCGAAGGCCGGAATATCTATTGCCGACATCTCAGCCGCCATGTATGCTTATTCCAGCATCCTTGCCGCTCTGATCAAACGCGGTAAGAACGGGAAAGGATCTCGGGTAGACGTTTCAATGCTCGAAAGTATGGTCGAATGGATGAGCTTCCCCATGTACTACACATACAACGACGCCCCTTGCCTTCCCCGCTCGGGGGCGTCCCATGCTTCCATCTATCCTTATGGACCATTCGAGACGGGAGGCGGCGGTTCCGTCATGCTTGGCGTGCAGAACGAGCGGGAATGGGCGAACCTTTGTCGCGACGTCCTCAATGATGAGACCTTGGCCAAGGACCCACGTTTCGTCAGCAACACTCTCAGAGTGGAGAACCGCGATGAGCTGAAAAAGATCATCTGCGATGTCTTTGCGCGCTTATCGGCTGATGAAGTTCTCAAGAAGTTGGATGTCGCGTCTATCGCAAATGCCAACGTGAACGATCTGCAAGGGGTGTGGAACCACCCGCAACTGAAGGCTAGGGGACGATGGACAGATGTTGAGACGCCAAGTGGAACAATTCCAGCCCTGATCCCTCCGGGGTTTGCTACGGTCGATAGTTCAAGGATGGGTAAAGTGCCTGGCCTCGGAGAGCATAACGAAGCAATCTTCAAGGAGGTGGGGTTTGAAGCTTGATTTTCACATGTGCTTTTTGAGGCATATCTACAAATACAGCACTTTCAAGGGGGTCCTACACGTCGATGCATGATGGCCGAGTCTTTATAATTTTCATGATCTAATCTCCATTAACCAAACGTTATCGTATGGCGCGTAACATTTGATTTGCAGGAATACTAAAGCTGCGACTACACGCACCTAGGCTTGGAAAAACCATCTTGTCCCATAAACGTACGATTCCATTCTCGTAAGTTGATTCTGCACTATCTACAAGCATACCCGTGACTAATATAAAAATGTATTGTCAAAGTACACTGATCTCTCCCACACGAATGTATTTCGATTAAACGCATTGTATAATAAATCAGAAAGTAAATGAAAATATGAGGGCATTACATCTTCTGCGCCTTACACCAACTCCTGGATGTTCTGATGCCCTCTGATTTGCTTCTGCTTCATTTTTATTCTGTATTCTTCATTGGGAAGCATCTCAACCGTATATCAATTGGAAAAGCCAGATAGGAACGTAATTAAATCTTCCTCTCTCGTTAAGATACGTAATCTCCTCCTGGTCGCCCCCTTTTGGCTCTCATCATTACTTGCCGCCAGAGTCTTTCGTGTCAGGCTTTGGCCTCTCAGGCATACTCTTCTTGTCCGAATCTTTCTTCTTGGATGCTTCACCGTCCTCGACTACCTCCTCTTCGTCCCGCTCATCTCCGGACTCATCCTCATTCCAACCCGGTATCAGTCCGTTGTCAGCTTCTCCCTCCTCGTCCGGGTCCCATCCTTTCAGGACTCTTCTCGCCGCCTCTCTTCCGACGACTGGTAGCCTCTGCACTCCGTTCTTACGCGCCGCGTCGGGTATTAGCTTCGGGTCCAACAAGCCAATCTGCACCAGAACACTGGCCTGATCCCAATACACATGCTCGTGGTAAAGCTTGCCTCCTCTCAACCCGACGATGCTGACCACGAGCACTTCGACCCGCTTGTTCGTTGCCGGGACTCCGGGCAAGATCCACGGCATCTCTTCGGTGTGCTTGAAGCGGACGTGGACCTCATCGACAACTCGATCGGTCCCAATGGTGCGAGAAATCAGAGTCAGTTTCATTGACCGGGGGTTGCTGAAGAACTGTGAGTATAAGCGCTCAAGTTCCGATGCTCCGATGCCTCCTGTCAAGGTCGGCATATGAGTCACGTGCGGGCTCTTGTGTGTTGTGTACGTTGACATCGTTTGGCTCAGGTTTCGAGTAAAGAATTTGCCTGTGCGTGCAAGTTAGCTCGATCTCACTATTTTTGCCTCATATCTTGCTTGATACCGACCCTGAACATTTTCCTCCAACACAAGTTCCAAGTCAACGTGGTTGTTGAACGCTTTCCTCGCCGCGCCTAGGCTCCGGCTCCACGCTAACTCTGCCGGGACTTTGTTGTATTCATCCAGGTCATGCTCGGCAAAACCGGGCTCGGCCTCATAAGTGTAAGTTGGGTACGCGAGCCGCAAAGTCCCTCCCGTGCCAATGCCGGCTTCCACTTTCTTGCAAGTCGTGCGCCGCCTGCCTTGTATCCCTACCATCTGGGTTTGCTTCGTGATACCAATCTCCTCACCAGCAGCAAGATGAACAAGAGCTGAGATGCTGCTGGGGAAGTGCCCTTTGGGATCTGGAATGGCTGTCGGGTAGTAAGCGATGAGCAACCCTAGCTTGAACTCTGGGTTGTTGTCTATGACGTGGTAGTGCTCCAGGCAGACAGCTGCCGCATCACCATATGCTGTACATGTATTAACTTAATTGCATCAGGTTATAATCCATGGTGGACTCTTCACTAACCGACGATTCCAAAAGTCTCACAGGGTCCCAGTTTCTTCTTGCTCAACGATCGGAGCTTGCCCCGGTACTTGTCCGCGCTATTCCCCATCGGCAAATATTCGACATCGAAACCCTCGTCGCGCCATTCACTTAGTGTAATTTGGTCGAAGTCCTCATCTTCCGCAGTTATGTACAGCCTCGGTCGCCCGCGAGGGAAATTCCGGGACAAAAAGTTGGGATCTCTGTGATTGGAGCCGGTAAGGTTGTCTGAGACGATGCGTGCATTGCGTCCTTCAGACTCTGGTACGGCGGCCTTGACCAGGTTCGGTATGTCAATATTCATGACGGAATTTGCTTGCAGCTTTCGGTGGTGAGGAACAACTGGATTTGTGAACTACATAGGTTTGCCCTTTCTGAGTCGAATTCCATCCATTATTGATAGTATGAGACGATGGCCGGAGTTCACTTCACGATGACGTCATATTTCAAATATGCTTGGTCTGGTCTGTCTATGATATCAGCGGGGTACAGCCCAACGCCGTATGGAGCGGTTCCAACTTGTCCGATACCATGATTCTGATTGGACGCTGTGTTGATCATCCCAAGTCCGCCGAGTCTCTTGTAGCAAAAGCTGTCCTCCCGCTTACTCCTCTCGTTCAACACCTAAATCTTCATTAGCCTACTGTAGCCGGCCTCCACCCCCCGTACTTGAAACATTTCCTTCCAGGATCAGTCACCTCTTGAAGAGGGTCCTATTGGTACTACAGGGGTATCCGTACGGATGGATGAACAGTAATTGGGTTGGTATCTGTTAACATTGTTGAAGAATAGAATCTGTCACCATTGCTGGTTGCGAGCACTGTTGGTAAATGGAAAAGCCGGCCGAGGTGTTACGTTCTGCATCATGTGAGCTGGGCAAGGGCCCTGGAAATGCCTTCAACAATCAGAAGTGCCGGGTCCTTTGCTGCTAAATACAATGGCGTGATGTCAAACTTTGAGGCACTCTCAGGATCGGCACCCCAAGAAAGGAGCAATTCGATAAAATGATATTGTGTCTTTATCACTTCAGCCCAAAGGGCGATGCCCCATGTTCCGGCAGTAGTGTAACCATCTCTTTCCTCCCATGCTCTGCAGCGACATGCAGAGGTCTCAGCAGCCTCATCCTATCGGGAACGTCTACTCCTGCCCCCAAAGTCCATAGGTGACAAATGAGCTTGATGTTGTTAACGGTTGCCGCATCAAGGAGACAGGTACTGCCTCACCTGGACTCGTGCCGTGGATATATTTCCCGAGATCGAAAACCAGCATTCGCTCAAACGTAGCACTGAGACCATGAGTAAGGCTTTTTAGACCCCGTCATACTTCTCAGTCAGTTCTCGATTCCATTGCGATTTATATGTGGTACTCCTGATCACCATCTAGGCTGTTATACATATTTGGTGGATTCTATTTCGTGGAAATCGAACCAAATGAGGCCATATACCTAGTTCATTCGATTTGAGCTTCCATATTCTCGACGGTTGCGATGACTTGTTTCGCTTCGGCCTGGAAAGCCTCCCTAGCCTTCTCCTGCATCAAAAATGTTTGCTGAAGCTTCTCTACCATGAAAGGCTTCAACATGGACTTCTTCCCCACCGCATAATCATAAATCACGGTCTCTTCTACACATCTTGCGGCAATTCGGCGGTGTTGGTCTGACAAGACCCATGCCTCCAAATTGAGAGAAGTCGTGTCGTATGTTGGCGGTTCAGTCAACTTGTACAGGACATGGATTCTGTCGGGGAATTTCATCGGCTGTTCAGAGGTGGAAGTTCTCGGAATCAGCATCCGTTGCATCAATGTTGTGCTCCGAATCGTCAACGTACAAATTTGAACTCGGTGGTAATGCTCTTTTTAATGACTCCCAGGCCTCGCGGGGTCACGAGATCCTCCCACTCCTTCTTTTCTTCAGCTGCGGAGTCTTGCCCATGGGTCCGAAAGAACTGGACTAGGCCTGTCTCGACATAGCGGTTGTACATAACGTTGTTGATATGGCCTATTGGCAGTGAGCGAAGGAGACACCATCTCTACAGCAGGCACAAATTGCACATACCCTAAGATTGTAAGCTCGCAGCCTGACATGATTGTATTATAATGACCAAGACACTCACCATGATGTCCTAATTGAAGTCACCGTTAGCATTAATCACGCCAGGAGGAATTGGAGTTCCAGCAGCCGCTGGCCGAAAGCGTACCATGTCACCCCAGAATAGTTGATGATTGTCCAGGCCTCTCCATTTTGGTTCCGTAAGAAAGCCTTGGCTGCCTGCCAAAAGCTGTATCCATTGTGCATCAGTCCGTCGCAGCAGCCGATCAGCCTCTTCAACAAACCGAGGGGAGCTGGCGCTGCTTCTTAGGTGCTGAAGACGCGCCTGTAGCTCTGAAAACCATCGTGCCGAGGTTTTCAGAGTGACGTCATCAGTGCCTTGCCGAGAATTGCCGCATTTCAACTGTGCTTTGGCGTATGTGCTTTTAGGTAGGCGCAGGTGCTGTTGTCCCCCGAGTACCGGACGAGCCAAGAGACAACAGACAGGTTGTCTGGTGAGTGAGGGAACCATGACGAGCTAAGAAGCGCCTCCGCCGAGTGGTTTTATATCGGCAATGGGATGCAGGTGGTATAAACAGGTCAGTTTGAGATGGGGTGGACGGGGTGCGCAGGAAGCGGGGTTGATGGGTTTGCGCCGAGTTCGATCACGGCTTTAGTAGACTTCTAGCGTGTGCACAGGAGATGCAGCTTGGAACAGTCCAACCTTAATACAATACAACCTCCGGAGACCTGGCCAGTGGCGACTTCCTAGGCCTTCACAGTGTTGTCAGCCGATGACCTCCATAATCGCATTTCCTTGGAAGATATCAAGTGGGCTGGAGTGCTTAAGAACGCCGGCTTGACTGAAACTCAATTGGTTGACATCTTTCTAGGCGCAACTTCCGCATCATTGAGTATCACAGTGTAGATTAGATGGGCTGAGTGCCGACCCAAAAGTCGAGCACCCGTCTTATCTCTAGGCTGCATGGCATTCTCGATCCCAGCTTTCTTGACAAGCGGTGACAGCAGGGCGGTTTACCAAGTGGTGTTTCGAGAAACAAGAAACAGGAAGTAGGATCCGACAAGAGGTAAACTCCTTTCGGGATTGGTGTTACGGAACTTGTCTTTTTCCGAGTAGGGTTCAATATGCAGGTTTATAAATAGGTTTGTAGGGTCACTGCACAACAAATCGAGGTTTGTATACGTTTCAAATCAAACGACATCTAATTATGATCTGTACCGTTCGATAGGAACAATAGTGCGGGCTTTTGAGCAGCCTCACACCCGCCACTTGGCGGCTGGAGATAGTAGTGCTTCATCTGTAGGAAACCGCTTTTCCAAGTTAATGTAATAAATTGACTTCTGCCGTTCTTGCCGATACCTCCAAGACAGATCAATATTCCCTGTTTTCCACAGTCAAGACTCAAACACGATCTAGCGCTGGGTCTGGCAATGCGCTATGTCTGAGTTTTGCTCCTGGCTAAGTTGAAGATGTCTACTTGGAAGCACAGCACATAATTCCAGTGGAAAGACATTGTGCTATCGTACCTTAGCCCATAACCGGAAAGTCTTTTCATGTAGTTTAGTAGCTTGTTGGTCTGATACGGGCCTACGAAGCGCCCCGCCCAGTTTGCGCCGGTTGGGTTCGAGTCCCCCTTAGGGAGAAGTTTGGTTGCTAATTCCTCAATTTGTTTGCAGCAACATGCAGAAAGTCTGAAGTCAACCACTTAGTTCCCCCCTACCCACATGACTTCAGAATTTCTGCATGTCACTGTATACGGTGGCAGCCGGATTGTAGTCTCCTACATGTATTACATTCAGTCCGAACTATATTCCTCTTGGCGCCTTTAGAGTCGTTGACAGCATTCTCTTGCCTTTGTCATCGAACGTCCTTGTGTAATCAATCCTGGAGTTTTGACCGAGGAGATCATATTTTCCGGCTCGTGTTGTCATCCGAATGCCCAAATAGAGGGCATCGCACATGGCCTGCTGGATATTGTACTCTGTATATCTCTTCCGGGGCATTGAGGATGGCGCCAGGGTTAGATACTGCCGTGAATGCTGGACCTTCAGAAGAGAAACTAGAAGCTTCTTGGTGTCCTTCAGAAGTCCTGCGGTTAAAGTTGGGTCGTCATAGATATCTTCTATGAGCAGATGGGCCTGGCAGCTTCTCTGACATATGATCAGTAATAAAGTATTTGTCTTTTGTGATGCCGAAACTTAACTTTTAAGTGTGCTCTGTGCGTTGAAAGGCTTATTACCAGCTTTCTACAAATTGAGTTAAAGCCTCGTGTGTCAAAACTTTGATTACAACATTGATTTTGATAACAGCACAGGATATTTTTACCTGTAATCTTCATTGTCAGATACTCGTTGGTCTCGTCTTCCCTTTTCGTCCGGCGGAACAAGGTTGAGTTCAGCTATATGATTTGTTTCAGCCCGAAAAGACCCCGCTCCTACTCCACTAGGAGGGCTGCTTTCGTATTTGACATGCTACTGTAGCGTTAATGACTAGATTGAGCTTCTATACTCCGTAGTAGAACAGGCAATCTCAAATCATTTCGGGACGCCTGCTGGCCCGATTAGCTCGATGGGCTTCCCGCCAAATAGTGTTCAACAACCCCAACAAAGCAAAAAGAAAAACAGGAAGTTTAATGCCCAAAATAACTATCAACATCCACTATTGCTACGGACTTTACCAAAGAGAAAAAGATAAATGAAAGGGACAAGCCACGTCACCCAAGCAAGAGGCTGTCGCCCTCCTTACGAGATACTGCAGATGGTGGACCACAACTGTAAGAATGCCTGAACCGCAAAATAACCCGACTAACCCTTTATAGTGCCTTATGGCCCGTACGCTCTTTACATATAGAAAGCAAGTGTCTTTCACTCACGAAATTAAAGTCAAGTCGGCAAGCAGAAGACTCGCATCTAAATCCGTTTCTGAAACCATGTCGCTTTCGGACTTCAATATAGAGATGCCTACGGACAGAACGATGAAGTCAGCCATAGACATTTCTCCTGACCTCCGGGATAGCTCTGGACTTTTTGATGCTTCGCAACCTCTTTAGAGTGATTACTTAGCATTCACCCAGAGCCCTCGCGTAGGACCAACTGCAAATGAGTCGGGAGAGTGTGACGATACAAGCAAGGCAGAACACTTTTTCGTTAGGACGAGAAGCCCAGACGGACTTTTTCCATTCTTTCCTTTCGAACAGCAAGTAGATCCCTATGCTCGAGTCAAATTTGAGGAGAAGAAATTGCCGCTGTGTGTTGACGAAGAAAGTCAAACGGGGATATTAAGATGTACGTGGCCTAGTTGCGGTAAGCAATTCTCGGAATTGGGCCGCTGGAGGTATGTCGGACTGCACACAATCGGCCAGGGGATAGGGCGTAATACTGAAGGTTGAAGCAGGAAGCACATCAGAACCCACTACAAGCCTGTTCTGTGTCCTGTGTGCCCCATTACATCAGCGTGTCAACGAGACATGGGAAAACACTACGGAACGCATTTTCGACAGCCCCGGTTTGAGTGCAAATGCGGAGCGTCCTTCACAAGAATGTACAACCTCGACCGTCATGTTCGGAGAAGATTAGGCCGTGATCCCCAACAGAAATAAGAAAAAGAAAAAAAAAAAAAAGGAAGAAAGGGAAAGAGAGCTCAATGGTTGTTTTTTTCCAACATTTTGAATTTAAAGGAGTATTTTCTGTCTTCCGTGTGCTTAATTATTAGTTGACAGAATTGGAAACGGCACATCCAAAACAACAAGCACAAATAACAGGCAGAACAACTATACACACACATTCTTTTTTTTTTTTTAACAATATAACAAATCCTTTGAAGACTTATAACAGTGTTGCCCCACTTCCTATCTCAACCTCATCGTCTGAGCTGACTTGTACGTCCAACGAAAGGCTTTGTAGACCAGCAGTGTTATTGAGGTTTACATCTGGATAGAGCGTAGTTGATTCAACATTGTTGGAGTTCGCAAATGTGTCCATTTCTGAATCCGAATCGCCATCTACGCTACCCTGGGATGTAGTTATCTGTGTTAACGTGTCTTGACGCTCGCAGCTCAAAATCCGCAGCTCCGAGATCTGGTCAAGGAACATGAACTTCAGATCTCCTACCACATCATTGATAGTTTTGCGGTACTCGAGCCATTGGGGGTTATCTGCTCCCCCTGCAAGGCTCAAGATTCCCCAATTCGGGTACGCTCTTCGGTGGGAATCGAGTAGACAGACTTTGGCAGGATGATGACGAAAGTATAGCTCACAGCAGATGCATGCAGGTTTGCTACACGCAATATATCTATCTTTGGCAGCGAACTGGCGTCTTTCGCTGTAAAAGTGATGCAGTAGCTGAACCTCGGCATGGACGCCAGGCTCCAGTTTGCCTGACTTGAACTCCTTGTGTAGCCTAGATTCGATATGAACTTGCTTGTCTAGGTGCGTGAGGAAACGAAGATACAGCGGGTATCGATCGTCTTGATTAGGGAGCAAGCGTTTAAGTACACCGCTCAAGGTGGTGTGTGGGTCGGCCTCGGGAACTGCCGCGCTCGCAGGGCATTGAACACTGTACACGATGCGATAGTCCATAAGAAGTTTCCGCAAACGGCTTCCGTCGTCAAGGAGCTGAGAAACGGCGCGGATATAAGCTGCCAACCGGCCGATCATATGCTTGACCGCGCGGAACGCGGGGGCAGTCTGCATTACACCAGGGGTGTCTTCGGATTCTTGGCCAAGCTGTTCTATCTGACGCAGTTCTTCGTCATTGCGAGCGCGATACGCTGCCCGGCACATAGACAGCTCGGAGGAGTTTTGATCCTCGAAGCTTCGAAGCCAGTTCTTGACACCGTCGTCTGATCGTGTCAGCTAGCTCAACAGAAACTTGAACAAGGATTGAAGATTGTACCCACTGTGCTCATTCTGAGCGCCCTCCAGAGACACTCGGCATCTTCTAGCCGCATTGCGTAGAATTCGGATCAGCTGCCTGATCCGCAACGAAGCAAACGCAGTGCACATGACCAATAAAGCCTCCTCTGATGTGACACGGTCCTCACTGTGACTGGCAAAACGCTGTACATGATCAAGAACATCACTCAGGTGACGTGTGACGCTCTCCCCAGGCCCTTCGTTCGAGGAAACCCAGAAAACGTAGCAGTCTTCACGTTCCTCCACGGCTATGGCAGTGGTGCTATCGCCCCCTTTTTTGTAGTCGCAAAGGAAGCACAGGTTTTTGAGAAAGCGCCTTCTAGCGTCTTGGATGGTGTAGCTGCTGAGCTGCGTGATAAGATGAGACCCATTCACTGGCCGCAAAATCGAAAGCAAAACAAGGGCCTCATATAAGCGGAAGAGCAGCCGCGCATACGGATCCATTCGGGGTGTAAGAGCCATTTTGATAAAGTCGTGTGGTCTCGTCTTAGATTTTCGATGACAATGCAGCCTTTCGAGATGGATCAACACTTCTTCTGAGTGGGTAGATATTTATAAAGCTGCCTGCCAACCTCCGACTGGTCCGTTTTTAGTCTTCATCACATAACGACAGCTTTGTCGTCTCCAAAGTCACTCTCAACGCTGAAGCTTTGTTTCCGAAGTGGTGTGATCGAACAATTCCAACTCAGTTACTACCGTCGGTGTGGTACTGAGCTTCTCTCTTTTGGCTGAAAAGGATATGCCCGATTTGCATAATATTGGGCAACCTCGATATCGACGCTTGGATTACCAAACAGGCTGGAAAGGATCTGGTCCTAGTAGTGAGGCACGGTACGATCGAACGGGGAATGGAGCTGGGGTTGCCCGGCATAGCTTGATGCGCAGAGATACTGACGCGGGAGGCTCTCTAAAATGAGAAAGGTAAAAATGACCTAGGCCGATCCTGCTAAGCCGGGAATGAGGTGTCTGATAAACTCCCGTCCAACCGGATCACTTGCGGGGCTACATCTCAGATACTTCGCCATCACATCGTCAAGACGCTCATGGGATTACTTTATGCGCAGGAAAAGACTAAAATTGTTGAGCTGCAGGCCTGGTCAACAGGACGGAAAACCATCCGCGCCTCGGTCAACTTCACCAGAGACCAGCAGCAAGTCGCCCACACGGGACGGGAGGGATTTCTCCTTACGCTTGCTTTTTCCAGGGCTAACTCACTGAATTATGCATTTAGCATGTCTCGTTGACTTAAGTTCTGGGTGTGGATGAGAACTAGGACTTTACGGCAAATAACCTGAGGATGATGCGTCATTGCACTCGTCGATTTCGTGAAGCGGTATTATGCTTTTCGTTGACGTTCACTACCAGACAAATCCTTTTCCCAGCCCGGGGCTCAATGACACAAGCTGCATTGCCGAATGTATACCGATACGCAACGCAATCCAGTATTTCAACCACTACGTCAACGAAATTAGTCTTATGATACTCTAAAGGTTTACTCAAAACCCTGTCGACATGCTCTCACTCAGTTACGGGGTTCGTGTACTTGGCACAAAGGCTGCTTTCCGGTTCATCGGCCCAGCCAGCTCAATCCCCGCTCTGGCGATTCGCGGTAAGGAGGTAAGGGCGTTGAATGTCACGTCAAAACCAACATGGAGAGGAGAGTGCCCCAAAAAAATGTTCAGGCCGTCATTGTCTGCGTAGTCAACCATGTACTCGAACGTAGGTCTCACTGCCTCCCGGTGCACCTTCGCTCGGAACGCTGCTACATAAATATCGTTACCGTACGCCGGCAATCGCCTCGTACTTTCAACGAAGGAACCGACGAAGGCCCCCAGCTTGTCGGCAGACAAGTCAGAGATTTGCCTGCTGAGGAAGGAGTTCTTGAGCGGGAGGTTGCCCTTGATGTTGGGGAAGCTCATCGGTGCCGTACTGGTGTAGATAGGCCGCCGACATGTACGGGAATCGGCGCCGAAGTAGTCGGCATTTCAGCCGGTGGCGTTGATCCGTTTTGCCGAGCAGATATGTTCCTCCCCAATCATGGTGCATGATTCATCCAGTCGACCGAAATGTACAAGTCAAACAAGCCGCGTCTCTTGAGTAGGGAGGTTTCTTGGTATGATACGCAGCGTCTGTGACGAAATCTAAGCACCGAAACCTCTTCGTGAGGACTGTTGGAAATTTTACGTGAGGTCTCACCTTCAAAGGCATATTTGGTGGTGAAGAAGTGTCAGCCGATGATGTGGTAATGAACGAACTCGCATGTCAACAAATGCAGATGACTCCAAGGAATGACTTTACATTGCTCGAGATCCCAAGAGTAATTGTCGCCTCGCCTGAATCCACCGGTGGCGGTGACGGAAGGATAATTGATCGAAAGGCATTGGCGAAACGAGGTCAACCAATATTTGGGGCGCCGTGCTGCACTGCCCCTCAGCCTCAGGTTCCTGAAAAGCCCCTGGTAAGTTTGGTCCGTCTTGGCTCGGGCTTCAGAGCGACGGCTGGGCGCTTCAGACAGCACGAGGATCATTCTCGCGGCATTCGACGCATCAGCCACTGTCAACCTGAGTGTTCTTGAACATGATAGCCGTGCTGACGCGAAGCATTCAGGGCCCATCCGGGGTTGGTTCATCGGCTGGAGATCGGCGCCGTGCCAGGGCTGCATCTCCCCGTGCTCGCCGAGCATTGGTCGGAACCAGGCTCATGGCGGACTGTGGGAGATCAGGGATCAGGCAGACTGCAGCTTAAACGCCAGGCGTATTTTGGTCGTCGCCATCTCTCCCTCACGACAGTAGATTACAGCCTAACCGATGATGGAAGGCTATAGGCCTAGCGTGCGCTGAACACGGAGTCCGCGGGAGGGGTCACTGATGCTGGAACTTGTCGGCATCCCACCCCCTAAGAGACACCCTCCTACCTAGGCGCTTCTGCTGTTATTTTTACTGCTCACTGGGGGCGGCTCATCACCTGTTAGATAGCGACAGCGGCCGGGGCCAGTTGGCATAGGCCTCCCGTAGAAGCTAACCGAAGGCGGGACATGCTAAATATGGCACGGAGCGAGAAAGGATTACTATGTGGGGGGTAGAACCCGAGTTGGAGGCACCACTATCTGAAAGCTACCGGCCAGGAAAGTTTGTTGTCTCCTTCGCTTGAGACGCGGATGGCAAACGCCCGTCCAGCAGTTCATGCCAATCAAACACTGTCCGCGCCTCTCACGTTGAGTGGGGGGATTTGGCCGAGAGATTGGTGATTGAGATAGATGAGAGCGTGGCCATGCGCAGTGCAGGGCCCAATTCTCTTACAGTCTCACCCTTACCAGGTTGCCAAGTCATGCATGTGCTAGGCGGAGACACGTCAGGGGTTAATCACCAAAATAAGACTGACATCAAGTTGGGGGCGAGCATAACCTGCTGTGCGTGCCGAGCCCCTTTCCTCTCCCTCGCTTACGAATATGGTGCCGGTAGTTCTATTGTACATAAACATCATGCATAGATCGACGGTGAACAGACGGGGTGTTCGAACGGCCATCTAGAACCTGTGAGTTCTAGACTTTGGATGGGACTGTGGATGGGATGGTGTGTTGGTGAACAGGGCATTTGCCGAACTCTAGCTGAGGAACCACTCACTGCAATGGATGTGTCTCCATGCTGTGTTCCCTATTGTAATTCTGCAATCACCCAAGGACCCAACCTTAGTATTCCCTCAGTTTTGGCTCTTGTCTCTGTGTCTTAGCCAAGTCAGCGACTCACTCCGAGCTTGCATTACTGCGCTATCGACATGGACGCGGTACACACTGTAGGCCCTATACCGGTACAATCAACACATACACACGCACGCACGCATAGCCCAGGAAACACAGCCAGGGAGGCCGGGGGATCCGGGGGGAAGGGATCCAGGTCAGTATGTGCCAAGGATGACCGCGCGGCATCGAGGCAGTGTCGCCAGAAAACCGGAGCTGTCCCTCGCTGATTGAACAGCCAAACCGCTTCATCTCGTTCTCAGCCAAGTCAGCAGCCGCTACGACTCACGAGATTGCCAATGCCCAAGGTATCGAATCCTGCCGTTTCCGGCCCCTGGGCACACGTCTCGTATTCTCTGGGCAACGGCGTCTGTTGGCAGCTCTACATCACAGATTTGAGTTTAGACATATTCCCTCTGAACCTCATAAACGTCCGAGTTTGCTCTTTTGGTGTTGGGTTTGACATCCTGCTGCCGTTCCGCTCATTTTCTCATTTTCTTCAATAGACACGAACAATCGTTCTCGACTCCATCATCCATCACTTCTCCAGCCTGCTTCCCCGGTCCAGACAGACAGACCCCTTGATCTGCACACACCAGATAAAACTAGATACCCGCGCCCGCAACATCGACGGCACCACTTTTTCTTTCCGGGGCCTTGTTCCGTAATTGCTCCTCGTTTCATCTTTCTGGCGTCTGACTGTTCGATTGTTCATTGCCACCCCAGGGGCCAAACATCATTGTCATCTTCTCATCAACACTCTCGTCCACCACGTTACCAACCTCTCAAACCACCTCCAGTATATCGCCAAACCACATCCGCACTATTCAAGATGCAGTTCATCATCACGCTTGGTGTGCTCTCCGGCCTCGCCGCCGCTCAGTCGGCCCCTTCCGGATCCACGGGCCTTGCTGGCCTCGTCAGCCAGCTGCCTACTTGCGCCGTCTCCTGTATCGAGAGGGCCGCCAGCAGCATCGGCTGCGGAGCAACAGACTTCGCTTGTCTCTGCAAGAGCCAGGAGAAACTCATCTCCACTCTGACGCCCTGCGTACTGACGGCCGGCTGCTCCGGCGACGAGATTGGTGGTACGTCTTGCTTCCCGCCCTGCATCGTGACTCTAGGGAACAATCAGCGCTAACAACCCGTGACAGAAGCTGCAAAGATTGCACCCCAAATCTGCCTACAAGTCAGCAACAGCCCGGCCGCATCCGACATCGCAGCCGCGTCGAGTCTCGTCACTGGTGCCATCGGCACCGCGAGTGCCAGCGGCGCAGCAGCGACGGCTAGCACCTCGCCTACAGCAGCCGCCGTACGGCCGACGAGCGGCTTCTTTGGCGTTATCGGCGCCGGGATTGCCGCATTGGCCGCCGTTGCCTTGTAGTATTAACTTGGAGACACGCACGCTTCGGACGGAACATTGGGATACTGGACACAGGCGCATCATTGGGTGGGTTTTATTGCAGATTTCGTTTGAAGACACTTCATGGGGTCGGTACTTGGACTTTTACGCGCGCTCATAGACAGAAAGCTAAAGTGACTTTCTGAGGACTTCTTTTTGATGGATGAGCTCGGGTCTGGTGGAGACCCTTCATGATCTGAGCTATAGCAAACAGCACGTTCTGGCGTCGTTTTGGTGCCAACTGCACACAGGTTTTTGCACTGTTTTTGCAGTCGAGATTACAAACAACTTCATTCTACAAATCAAGCCCTTGCTAGAATTCTCTTCGTTGTTGGTTATTGTCCATCTGGCTCTTCTGATGGATTGCGGGGGATATGTCGCCGGCTAGGTTGTTGAGATGCAACAAGCGCTCTAGCTTGTGCTCTTGAATTCATGGCCACTGTACAGATGATACCAACCTCTCTCTATTTTCTTCTCAACCTTTCTGTACTGAATATCTCTTTACCTATTAAACTTACCGGTATGGTTAAGTTTGAATCCGCCGTGGGTTTCGCAACCTATCCAACAGGATTCCATCGAGAGACCTTGGAACCCTATCTCCGCCGTGAAAAGGAAGCAGACCATATAGAGCGCGTAGGCTTACGTCGCAAGTATTGATTGGGTGTTGTTTCCAAGTACGAGCGGTGTCTTTTCCTTCCTAGCTAACCCAAGGACCACTTCTGTCACGTGGTCTACGGGGCACCAACCTGTTCTGTGATGAGTTGTATGACTACGAGTTTTGAGTGGTCATATTGACTTTTTGATAAGGTCTAATTACAACTTGATGCCCTTCCAGCTGCTCGGTTGAGTCAAGCAGACCACGTGAAATATCATCGAGGGTTGGCCTGGTGAGCGGTCCTGATGGGTGGGTACACTTGGCCTGTCACTAATCTGAGACAAAAGGTAAGGACACACGAATCACATGTTATCATATTTGAAGTTCAAGAAGTTCCAAGAATATCTAAATTCAATTGGCGACTAGGTACCCGAGCTAGTTGACGGCCTTGCATTCCAAACACCCTTGAAGCAACCAAACACATCAACAAATCGAGTTAGTAAGAACTCTTCAAATATATCCCACGAAAAGAAATTGCGTTTCCGTCTTTATAGTCCAAAACGGATCTTTAAGACTTTCTGTCAGAAGACAGTACCCAAAAGCAATAGAAACGATAGCTTTGGAGAAAACCCTCAGCAATCGAATCCCATGCTGGACCGCTCCCTGGCCCACTCAATGGGTGGCCCAGTACTCTTGAAGCTTCTGGTTGACCTCTTCCACCTTACTGTAAGCCTCAGTGTTGGCCAACAACTGCACAGCCTCCTCGATCGCGGTGTCGGAGAAGGGCCCAGCACGCGTGCGGAGGTCTGCCATGACATACGGCTTTGCCCTCCACCGCGCCTCCATCGGGTCGATGAACTTCGTTTCGTTGTACCCGAAGTCGGGAAGAACGGTGACGTTGAAAGCTGCCATCATGTCGCTGTCCTCGTGGATGAGGTTGTGGCAATGAAACATGTAGACTCCATCCCAAGGTGCGTAGTGAGCCTCGACGAGCACGGATTCACCTCGGCCCAGCCAGACGACGTCCTTGAGTCCCTCGGCCTCGTACGGCATGACACCCCGGTCACCATCTCTGGCGATTACCTTGAAGTCGACGAGGTGGACGTGGATAGGGTGCGACCAACCGTCTGAACTGTTTTCCAGCTCCCAGATCTGGACGCTGCCTCGTGGAACATTGGCAAGGATGCGGTTCTCGACGTCGGCGAAACCCACGCCGTTGATGCGCCACTCGCCGTTGGTGCGATGGAATCTGAAGTGGTGGTCGATTTCGTTCCCGGCTGACTCGGGGAACGGTACAGAACGAAGGGTCTCTGGGACTGTGGATGTGTCGGGTGAAGTTGCTGTAGTGCCAACGACAAACTGCATGACCTTGTCGGTGTTCAGGAAATCGTCCTCAACGCCAACACCGCCGGCTTTGGGGAAGTTACGGATCTCGAGTCTCTGTCCAGCGTACTGGGCAAAGTCAATCACAATCTCGTACCGCTCGGCTGGGGAGACATACTAATATCGTTTGTTAATTGACATACTGGATCGGAAGAGCACATTACTCACAAGGTCAGAAACCTGGACAGGCTTCGTCAGAAGACCACCGTCGGAGGCGATAACCTGGAAGGGTAGCTTCCCGTTGGGCGCGTTGGAGTTGACGAGGTACAATGCGAATGCGCGGGATACAGATGCATCCAAAAATCTGAACCGATACTTGCGGGGCTCAACATTAAGGAAGGGCCACGGCTGGCCATTGACATGAATAACATCACCCCAAAGGCTGTTTGTCTCTCCCTTGGTCGAGAACAACGTGCCGTCCTCGTTGTACTGCTTCGAGGTGAGGATAAGGGGGATGTCATAGACCCCATAGCCTGATGGCAGGTTGAGGGCCTTCTCTGCCTCATCCTCGATCATGTAAGCTCCTGCTTGGCCCATGTAAGCGTTCTCCGCTGTCTTGAGTCCTCTATGTTAGCTTAAGTCTCAGCAGATAAAAGCGAGATCGGTAGACTCACAATGTGCATAGCGTGGTCGTGGTACCAAAGCAACCGGGCGGACTGTTGATTGGGATAGTAGTAGTCCTTATACTCTCCAGGGTTGGTGATGTCTTCAGCCCATCCATCGAATGGAGCACGGGAGTATGAGCCATGAAGATGAACAGAGTTCTCGGCAGCAGCGTTGTTGATAAACCGGACTACAGACTCCGTGCCGCGGGGGATGACCAAGGTCGGGCCGGGAGACATGCCGTCGTAGCCTACAAGCGTGGCAGGGCGAAGGTTGGGGTAAACCGCCTGAGTGAAGGGCTTGATCTCCAACTCATAGTACCAGATTTCTTTGCCAGTCACCGGGCTTATGATTTTCCTAAGGACATGTTAGATGTGTTGAATCGAAGGAAACGTTGGGGGGCTTCCTTACTTGGTAGGCTCCTTGACTGGCGGAATCGGAAGAGCCACTCTGTAGATCAAGGCATACTCCGGGCTCAGCCAGTCCTTTGCAAGAGTGAAGATATCCTCAGGGTCATCTTCGACGATTTGAGCAAGAGCTGCGACCTCCTCCTCTGGCAGCCGGGAAATGTGAGTATCGCTGAAGGAGGAGTTCTGCGCCTGAGCAAAACTGGCAAAGACAGCAGCCTGAAAAACACCAACGGCGAGTTCGAGACGCATGGTGGTGATATAACGATTGGATAGACCTTTGATAAGTGACTCGTTAGCAGCCAATGATATGGCAAGATGTGCTGATGGAGGCGCCAGAAACAAAATCTCAGACTGGGCGAAGACATGGCCTTATATCTTAAACCCGAGAACATTGGAAAGTGCACGACAGAGTCATGTTCCTCAGAATGCTGCTATTCCTCTCAGGACACCACAACTAGTTCGAGTACGAGCCAAAGTGATGCATCGTGCTATACTTGTCAACCTAGTGCCAAGGCTAGCACCGATGTTTCACACGTGATGATATGGATGATACTGTACAGGCGAGTGCTCCTCACTTCTTACCTGGATAGGAAATCGATATCCGATGCGGACTGTCCACGAAATGCCTCGTCAGAAGACTTGACGCTGATAACAGCATCATCTTACCTGGTAACATCGCGGCTCGGGAGCAACACAGACGTCGTATCAGGTAAGGGGTCTAAAGTCATCCTGCAGAGTAGCCAGGAGATCCACACACAGTGACAGTCTGTAGTTTTCCTTTTTCAAAACCCACGTCTGACTCCAGATGCTTTGATAGGCCTTGGTCGTAGATGTGGACGGTGTGTGGCTACACGGCTGGGATGACGGGGATCGGGCCATACCGGCAGGTGCGAGGCTCTCGGGAATGTAATGGTTGAAAGTGGCGGTCACTCATTAAGCAACCTAGGCGGGATAACAGCGGGCAGAAATCCGAGCACGGGCTTCCAGTGATTCAAAGAGAAAGTCAGAACCATACAGCAGACAATCATGGATCAGCGGCAACGGTTTTGGAAGCTTGGTAGAGGGCTTCCAGAAACTCGGTATATTTGGACCGAACTCTGGGTGGCCTTTTCACCCGACGTTGTGCAGGCTTCATTCAGATACGGTGACGGATATCATTCTTTAGAAATCAAGCATATCAGACATGAAGGACAATTCATGAGTCGTACAACTGGTGACGGCTTGGGCCTGGACTCGCGATATGGCGCTAAGCGGTGCGTTGCCACCGCCTGAGCTAACCTCCTTTTCAAAAGGCATATATTCCCTCATCATTCACATCATAACTAGACTTGACGGATACGAGTATACATGGGTACTATGTAGTTAGAACCTTGTCAAGGTGGATCGAAACCACCCCGTACAACCCCTAATCGTCTTTCCCTCCTCCTGCCAAGCGTCAGTATGTGACTTTGGACCCCCCCCCCCCCCACGTTCAAAGAAGTCAAACTATGTTAGCCACATGGCCTCCTATGCGGTCTTGGACTAGGCCCAAATGTTACCCATTCATGCCGACTAAACTTGCCCCGAGTCGAGCGACAAGAAGGATCACTGAGTTCAACAAGCAAGAGCCGATGTAGACGAATGATTTTGCGAGGAAGCGCCCTTGTCATATGATGATCAGTTGCCGCTGCTTTCTTTTTTCAACCCTTGTTTCCCTTAAGCGGTACAGGGGTTTCAATTTTAAATTTTTTTTTCGCCACATAGGATGCACCGTAAAGGGATGACATTCAGACCTTCAGAGTTTGTCATGAATTGTAAATCAACTTACGACATGTTCCAGTGTTTAGCGTTTGTACAAGCGTCGTGACGAACTCGGGTCTAATCAGAGTTCTGGCAACCTTGACTTGTAAGCTTAAAACACTAGTCTTCCCGAATCCGGGCCGTCCGGTTCGAACTCTGTCCAACAAAAATCCAAACTGTGATTTTGGGAATCGCTGTTGTGCTTCATGTCGAACGGGGAAACCCAGGTGAACGGATCCGAGGCGCTTTGATATGACCGCTTCTAGTCACATCTGAGTAAGAAAACAGGTCGACTGAAAGCTTTACAGACAGTGAGCCGCCCATGCCACATCCAGAGGTGCCGAGATGATTCCTGTCTTCCATCCTTGTTGCATTCGGACCATGCCGCCGTCGGGCCCGCACGGTTATCGTCCCCCGCATATAAGCAACTAACACTTTGCAATGGCATTTGGAGCCGGGCATCTACGCTGTGGGGGTTCCATCGACTTCCATAAGTAGAAGGTGGCAGCAATACCGACAAACTTTCAATTCGCTGCCGGAGGAGGTCTTGGCGGGAAGAGCCGCGACTCGTGCTTCCACGTACTAGGATGTTGTCACGCAAAAGACGACGCCGTTAATTGCGGGCAGCACAACTAACGCCCTATATCACCTCGTGACAGATGTTGAGATGCGGCAAGTGGATCATGCAAAAGGAACCTAGTTCGGCGCGACACATCATGGATTCAGGGGTGACTTGAATTGTCCAGCTGCGGTCAGAAGTTTTTACACTATAATGGAAGGCTTGTAGCGGAGGACCTACGCATCGGAAGGGTCGGAATGTCACTCAAATGTGGCTAGGCTCAACTCCTTTCCTGCACGTACGGTTATGTCGCTGGCCATGGACGATTTGTAGATGGTTATTGCGGCTAAAGTTGCCAAGATGTAGCACCACCGTCAGTAGCGGCACCTTCTGACTGGACTAACTAACTAGTCATGATCTGTTGGCCAAGCCTGCGACACTGGGCGTGCAGGAGTTCCGCATCTCCCTGTCATCACCGCGCGGTTCGGATTTGGATCAAGCTCTTTTTTAAGTTTTGGCTCCAATCCTGGAAACGAGACTTGGCGTATTGAGTCAAGCTATGTTTTGAACAAAATTTTGTCGTACCATTCAGTGAGGCTTTGGTAATTACCAACATCCCGATGAACCCGTCCTGCAAGATGGCCAACAAACTAGGACAGGAATGGTTGTGCCTCGACACTCCAAGGAAGTATAGGCGACTTATCGCGGGAGACACATCCTACGCGCTAGTTCTTGTTCACAGTAAGCCCCTCTACAGGAGGATCGCTCTGGAGCTGTCTACTGCAGCCCCTTTCCACCGGCAGAAGTTGCCAAAGAGTTCTGGCCGTATCCGGCTACCATGTCGCCTCTTGTTAGCCGACGGTTCTCGTACACTGACTCACAACCCTGGATTGGCAGGTTTTAACGAATCGGCTCGCCTTCCCTCCGAGTAATCCCGGCAGGAATAGCCAATTATAGACAGTAGCGCGCGGCATTATTCCCGAGGAGACTATTGCGAAAGCGTTACTGGGGGTGGAGCCGCACCCCAAGGTTCCCCATGGTGCCTCTCTACTGGGTACTACTGAGATATTTGCATCCATATGATTGGAAGGCCAAACACGACTTGCTTAAAAATGGCTCGGTTGGACTGGACAAAGAGACGTCTTGGCAATATAACGTTCTTGGCAGCGAAGCCAGGCGAGGCTCGTAAATGGATCGTTTCCATCTTTCCTTCCATGCGGGCACTTGTTGTGGTGATTGATCAATTTGATCCCAAAGGATCTCGTCGACCACATGGGCTAGCCCACTCATTTCGAGCGCAAGCTAGCATCCTAGGAGTGTATTAGTCGCGCTCATGTATGGAATGCTATACCTAGAGTGCGTTTTGACTAACGATATTGAACTGTGCAGAGTTACCTTGCAGAGTTCCATTCAGCGGGTATACGAGAACTCATGATTCACCGCAACGTTTATTACACTCAAGAGAACAGCACGACACTTGAATGAGGCGATCTTGGCAATGGTCACCGACACGGAGAAGAAGCCATACATGCAAGCCACCTATGCGTCGGGATGCAATGGTCAGATTAATCTCCAGTAGTCGAAGTTGTAGGGCGCCTTCAGATAGCTGCAAGTGGCATGAGTTCGAAAGTGTTGGAGTGAGTATCGGTCTTGTTTGGTTTATGATAAAACAGAGGGTTTCCTCTGTATTTTGGAATCCCATCATCATCATCATCCTCATCACCATTCTCACCACCCTCATCTTTCTCACACTCATTGATCCATCATGTGGTACTTGCAAATCTTCTTGGCCGTGTCGGCTTTCTTTGCAGCTGTCGTGGTATCTCAAGAAGCTCCCCTCTGGATTCAAGGCGGCCTTGAAGATGCTACAGCCACGGATGACTCTTTCAACACCGGCGGAACCATTGTGGTGAACGGCTTTACCATGAACGTTCCGAAGAACCTTTTGGTGCAGTTTCCAGCTGCCTGGGTTCCTTGGAAAGAGTTCGTTGCCAACAAGGGCAATTTCGCTGGCTATGAAACTCTCGTAAGTCTCAATGCATCCGAAACTGATCGTGAAGTAGACAGAGTCAGTGCTAAGTTTGCATGCCCAGGTCATCGGCAACAGCATCAACGGAGAGCCTCGAGTCGGCCAAGTCCAGCTCTACGAGTTCTTCGAGGGTCTCAGCAGCGGTTTTATTGAGTCTGTCGACTTTGAAGACGGAAGTCTCAAGATTCAAAATGGCCCTGTCGTCAGGATTTCTGACCCGAATGCTGTCTTCTCCAAAGGCTACTCGGGGGCACCTCTGATGACCGCAGACGACCAGAGCCCCAGCATCACTTCATTCTCCGGGTTCCCCATGTGCATCCCGCGAAACACCACCGACCCCCTGTGTCCGCTGAGCAACCGACCTTTCGTCGGGCCGGGCACTTTGTTAGTTCACAGGACCGAAACCCATCATGAACTTGACTAATGTCTATTAGCACTGCACCCGACCCGCTTGTCATGGCGCCTTTTCAAGCTGGTGACTTCATCACTTTCTCCGGGTTCCGACAGGGTGGGGAGGTCATCGCTTTCAGCATTGTCGCACAGAACGTCCAGATCACCACTCTCGGCGATGTTGTCTATGTCAGGATGGAGTTGGGCCTGCTTGGCATAGACAACCCCAGCCCGAACGCTGAGATCGCCGAGTCTCGAGTAAGTCCATCACTGTGATATACTATGAGCGCCTCCAGCTGATGGTCTCTCAAGTTCATAGGCTTTGTCTCGAACAACCGTGCAACAGTGACTTTGTATGCAATGGACGTTGATCCTTGCACAGGGAACACCGCCGATCGTATTATCGCCTCTATGGGGCTTCGCGGTGGGCGTAACCCCCAGAATAAGTTTGAATACCGCAACGAAATTCTTTCTCGGTATACCCGCGAGTACCGCGTCACAGCTGAGATTGACGGCATAGCCAAGACTCGGGTCACGAAGAACGGGATCACAGCAGGTACCTACGTACAGCCCGTTAATGTCTGGGTCCCTGGCGAGCAAGACGTTCCCGGAGTGCCCCCAGTCCCGTACGACTTCTCTCAGATGGAGTTCTTGACCAAGGGCGTCGGTAGAGATGACGAGGACAATGTCTGGGGCCCCCTCGAACCTTTCCCGCAAGTCGGTGTGCTGATTGAGGCTCCGACATGCCCGGCAGCTCGGGAAGTCAAGATGCAAAAGCGTGGCCAGATCGGGCGGTGGTACGGTCGGGCTCGCGCTGATGCCATCTCGCAAGCTGAAAACGTCGACACGACTGATCCCGTGGTCAACGTTGCCCCAGAGGAGGCCAGGGTTAACGCTGAGAAGAAGGCAAAGAAAGAATCCATGAGGGGTCCCCTTTAAAGGCGGGCTTACAGAAAAGCACAGACCTCTGACCATCATGACTATTATGGCTTAAGCATGTCAATAGGCTTGAAGCAATGGTCCAACCAGAATATCAACGCAACTGCAACACCTACAAGTTGCAACTTACCTTCTATAGTCCATATCTATTTAGTTACATATTATTTCATTTGTTCCAAAGAAATTGATCATCGGCGACATGCCTTTACACCTATGTTACAGTTATCATAACGGTAAAAAAGCGCCTCAACAACTCCATTTGCGGTATCCTCTGTCCGGAATTGAATTTTCTGCAATCACTTAGATTCAAGCACTAGAAGCTTAACAGAATGCCACTTTCATTACCGCTTGTCTGGTCTGTGGTGGTGTCCGGGTACGAGCCCAAATCGCTTGGTGCCGCAGGTGCCGAATCCCATGTCCTTTCTATCTGGCGTGCGCCGTGTCTTCCATGAGTCAACGTGCGGCATCTGTTTTGATGCGACGCTGTCTTTGCCCTTGCTGTTGGACACCCCGGCGTCATAAGGGGGGTTTCCGTTTCCACCACAATCTCCGCTCCCATCGGCACCGCCGCACCGCCGCACCGCCATGACGGATTTAGATGCCTCCACCCACATTATGCTTCTTCCCTTGCTCGGTGCCGTTAAGAGGAAGCAAAGGGCGAGTTATCGGTGCCTGGGAGGTCCCTTGAGCAATCGTACTTTCTGTATACGCACTAGACGCTTCAGAAGCTCGAAGAGCCTAGGTAGACGAAGTCACCACTTCCGCTTCTATCAAGTCATTAGAGGAGGTGTCTTTCTTTCATGAACAGAAGACCTCCAGCCGCGATTGATAAGTAATTACATCATCAAGAAGCATTATGTACCCGTAACCCACACGGGGCCTCTTGGCGCAGATATCAAATTCCCAACATGTTTCCCTAAATACCCAAGCGAAAATCATTGCATCTATGGGACCTTGAACTAGAACACGCCAAGCTAAACTACTGGCCTCCTTGACTGGCGGTCTGAGCGTGGAGCTGCCTCTGAAGGATTTATCTACTCACGTTCGCGACAGGCTTGGTGTGTCGGGCCCACGGCACATGCTGCTGACAACCTGATACAGGCACAGCCAAATCCGCTGGGGTTATTGCAGGGATGTGCACATATGTATCCTACCAGGGCCGAGTTCTGTAACAGTAATAACGCACTGTAATATAGTCATGTGGTAGCATATGGCTGTGTCAGCTACATTCCACGACGAGTCCTTGAGGGTTCGTCTCAAACATCGCGCTCGATTCCTAAGGAGCGGTTGCCGTTGGCAAGCCCTTGACATGGATTCTCACGATCAACGCCAGCCGGGTTATCCGTCTACATTTGCCAGCAATTTACCCCAGATCCAGAGAATGTTGAACCGAATAATTCGTCTGAACGATTCATCTGAATGCTCCAGCTAGATCAAGGTCGGTGCTGTCTAAAATCTGTGCCCAGCTATACAGGTGTGATTCGATTCATTCCATGATCGCCGCCCCGATCGGTGACCGGCTGAGCCGACTCTTTTGGAACGTACCAAAAGCGCTGATCCTCGTAAGCTAAGGCCCGGAGAATATCGCTTTCTGGGCCTGCCCGTTTTTCTGTTCTACCTCCTCTTGGCGCAAATCTACTCTTGGCGCAAACGAGACTATCCCGTCTAGAACATCGCGCATCTGGAGAAACTGCGCTTCCGCGACTCCAGTCACCGCCATAAGGCCCCTTGGGGTAATTCCAATTAACACAAGTACGGGTATGCAAAACAAGCTCAAGGCTGGGTGTCAGCTACGGCTTCTCTTTCAAATTATGCGTAACGAAAATACTTGGTGCGGGGGTTTTGTGTTTGGCAGAACAAGCTTGGATCTGGTCTGAATGGTGTCGGGGTCCCGACCTGAGTGGCATTGGCCCATCAGCGGTCCAACGATGAATCTGGTCGCATTGACTTTACAGAGCAAAGCTTGAAACAGCGACGCAGACACACTCTGCGACAGGATTGAGGAGGGGAGCCCGTCCTAACCGAGCAGTGCAACTAGGGGGGGGCCTGGTCAGCGTCACAACAAGCCTTGTTTGAGAGACTGATGTGATGGAACCATCAAGCATCCGAACATGTCTCGTTGCACAATGAGACTCAGAGCTGTCATCTCGGCTCCAAACTCTCGTCTGTAGCGTAGTAAATCAAGCGTGCATTCGAAGTGGTGCCGCCGTCCCGAGTTTCAGGGTGTGACACCCAAGTAAGTGTGCACTGAGCAGGAAAGTCGTAAACCGAGGGCACATACATAAGTGCTGGACAGAACTGTCGAATTTCATCCGTCTTTGTCCTTTGTTCCACAGTGTTTGCCAACAACTCGATTTTCTCTTACATATTATTATTCATTCCGTGCTGCGCGCGGCCCTCTTCGATTCGATTATCTCTCGCCAAGACCTGGAGTCATTCTCATAAATCTACAAATCTGTCAACATGAAGTTCTCCACTGCTGCCTTTATTGCTCTTGGCTTCCTCGCCGGCAACGTCGTTTCTGGTAAGTTCATCGTTGATACATCCGCATGCACACGTTGGACTAACAAGCTATCCAGCCCCCACATCCCAGTCTAACAACGTCGCCCTCCCAATCGCGGCTCGTGCCGATGCCTTCGTAGCGAACGACGCTGCTGCCATCCCTGCCCGAGAGGAGAAGAGGGCTCAGGGTGCAGGGAACGGCAAAGGCAACGGCAAAGGCAACGGCAAAGGCAACGCCGCTGCGAAGAACAATGGCGGCGGCGCTGCGACTAACAACGCCGCCACTGCGAAGGCCGACGCCGCAAAGTTCAACGGTCTGGCTTGTACGGATGGAAAAGGCGCGGGCACTTGCAACGCCAACGGCCAGTGCGCTGTCAACGGCAAGACCGCACCGATCGCCGGCCAGTGCGGTGTGGCTGCTGCTGATGCTGCTGCTGCGAAGGGGGGCGCTGCTGCGAAGGGGGGCAAGAAGGCCAACAAACGTGACGTTCACCTCAACTGATTGGGTGTCCTTCGGGTTGAAGGAAATGGGTAGACAATTTGGAACAGCGGGAGCTTCGTAGATATGACTTATAACGGCGCAGTGGTTCCGACTGCTAGTCGCGGCGGCCTTGTATATGTATAATCGAATTGAATTGACTTTCATAGCTCAGTCACCTCACAAGCTGACCAGTTGAACAAAACATTACAGTAATTGCTTCAGACACATGCGGCCGGACATTTCTTCACTCCAAAACTTACAATAACCACCTCTCGCAGACGTGAGATAGTGATAGTACGCCACGATCACTGGGGCAGGCTTCGTTTTGAGCTCCCATCATCACACAAGAAGTCGAGTTGCTCTATAACATCCAAATGAGGCTTGCATTATAGCCGTATATCATTATCCTCGTTTTCAATCATATGTCGAGCTTTTTCTGTTGCCTGGTTCTGTCAGTTAGCATGCTCTGCATTGTTCTCGGTTACCATCTATGACTGTGTTGCACAACCGTCTTCACTTGCGCCTCCGGACCTTTGGGCTTGCCAACGCCAAAAAAAATAAAAAATTAAAAAATTAAAAAAAAAAATGGGAGGCCATTACCATCTTGAACTTGTAACTTATGATCGCCATATGCGCCACTTAATCCTCGACATAGCTGCAACAAGAGAAGACAAGGTGGGCTCGCAATCCAGGCTCGATCGACAGACAAGCTTTTACTTGGTGGGGCCCTGTAGCCGCTTTATCCGTAGTCCGTATTCTTCGAAAACTTGAGTAAGAGAGGTGGAAACTAATGCCAGCAGCCGTCGAGACTTATTCCCGAGTTTCCAAATCTAGCTTTCCCCCTCTCATTGATATTATGTTACTGAAATTCTGTGCATCTTTACCATTCTGCACTTGCCGCGAGATTATGTACTGATGATTGACGATTGCGTCTTCGAGTATTCAATCCAACCGGCGCCGACTACCTCCCCGTCTTTCAAGACAGTTTTGATCGTGAAGAGCTGCATTCAGAACTTTCAGGTGCCTGAGGCCTCTTTCCGCTAGAGAAAGCCCTGTGTTAATGATACGCCGACTCCTTGCTGCTTTGTGATCAGCAAATGCCCTCTGTATTTCACGGTATACAAGAGGCTTTATATCCATGAAATTTGATTGTCTTACATAATCTTGGTGTATTCAAGTATACTGTACGTACTCTTTCGTTGACATCAACCTTTCTGCATTCTACCCTCAGCAACAGGGTGACCGCTGGGGTTCTGAATAGATAGGAACACCATCAAACACTTCAATTTCATAGTCATTGTTCGCTCCGGTTCATTTTCAGTAGAGTGAGATTAAAAGCCATGTGCCTGAGAAGGCATGAAACAGCTGCAGCAACACACCAAGCATTTCAAATAGCGCGTTTTCGCTGCCTTGATGTTGGATTTGGTAGCCGCAACTTGATGTTTTGGTTTTTGAAGTAGGTGGATTACTTTTCGTTCTCGGGTGGCGAATGTTGATGTAGGGCGGCTATGAATTCCTTTCATTTGGTTTAAGTCAAAGCACCCACTTTTCGCCCACCCCTGCATTTCGCCCACCCAAAAATAAAGCCATCACAACCACCACCACTTTATTCAATTAACTATCTACAACCTCTTAATGCTACAATAATACAGCTTTTAGCCTCACTAGGTATATCTAATGCACTAGATTTATCTAGTGTACTTTTAACCTTACTAGCCTTAAGCTAGGCTTACTATATCTCTTTAATTATTATAAACTTTATATTTAGATCTAGAGTAATAGCCTTCCTTTTTTAACTAATAGTATTATTAACACTAGCCTAAAGAAGCTTTATTTAATACTAGGCAGTAGCTAACTATAAGGACTACTATTAAAAGCTTTTTTTAACCTTTCTAAATAGCTAGCGTTATATAGTAATAGTTTACTTTAGTTAGTTTAGTTAGCTAAATAGATATAGTTAATCTCTAAGGTCTTTTATTTTCCTTAGTATAGACTACTTAATTATAGATAAAGTAAATACCTAATCCTTTATATCCTAGGTATTATAGGCTTCTTTTACCCTCTTGTTAAGTAGTATTAATAGTACTATTAATAATAATATTACCTTTTAGACTAAATACTTACTTATTAAAGGCTTTACTATAGTAATAGGCTATAACTTAGTGTATTTTTAGTTACTTTTAATATTACTAGTAGTTAATTTAGCCTAGTAAGCCTTTTAATAATATAATATAAAGTTTCTTTTACTAATAATAGTTAAATTATTTTACTATATAAAGTAACTAAGCTTTTTTTAATAAGCTACCTTTATAAGACTAAAGACTACTTAGTTAAAAGGCTAAAGGACATAGGAGGTATATAGTAGTAAAAATAAAAGATAAATATTATTTATATAGTATAACTATATAAAGTCTATTATTATATAGCTTTTATACTTATCTAGGATAAGTAATTTAGCCTAATTAGGTTAAAAAGGCTTAGTCTATAGTAAGAAGACCTTTTTTAGCTATTTAATAGTAGTAGTATTAGTAGTCTATTTATTATTTATTACTATAAATTACTACTTATTATATAGGCCTAGATCTAGAGAAAACTATTACTACTAAATACTTTTACTTTTATATATAACTAAAGGATAAATAAGAATACCTTTAGTAAATATATACTTAATAATAAATACTTAGGCTTATAATCTAGGCTACTTCTTCTTTACTACCTTTATTATAGCTTTACCTAGTACTAGCCTATTATCTTTTTTACTTTTAAAGATACTAGTCTTATCTATATTATATCTATTAGCTAGTTTAATAGTAGTAATATAAAGTATAGTAAAATATTTAAACTATTCCTTAATAACCTTAGTAAATACCTTATTAATATACCTTAAATTAATAAAGTAACTTCTCTAGACCTTAATAGATAAGTTTCTTTACTTAAATCTATCTACTTATTACTTACCTAGAGGTTAAGTATCCCCTATAGCCTTAAGGATACACTAGGCTAGTTCTTTAACTTATTAATAGGTTAGTAGTAGCCCTAAGTTAGCTTAGGTAGTTATCTAGGTAGCTAGGCTAGCCTCCTAACTAGAAGAGAGCCTCTAGAGGTCTTTAAATATATTTACCCTCTATTAAGTGCCTTATATATAGTATTAAATTATTAATTATAGTATACCTTATTACTAAAAGGCAACCTAAGTAAATACACTATTTTAAACATTAGAAATTACACTAGTAAGCTTAAACTTAGTATACTAGGCCATTAGGTATAAGAGAAGATATCTTAAAAAAATAAAGTAATTTAGAGAAAAATAGAAAATATTGTAATAGTTAGAAGTTAGAGGTTATTTAGAAAGTAGGTAGCTAGGCAGCATTTTTAGGTAGGTAAAATGCAGGGGTAGGCAAAAAGTAGGTGCTTTAACTTATAGATACGTCTAGAAGACTATTAAGAAGCTTTATATAAGGTAACTTCCTAATAGATTACCTTAGATAAAACTTTTATTATAATATATAAGCTACTATTACTGCCTATATAACTAATAGTATTATTTTCTTATATAACAGTTATAAGCCTAGCTTCTATATGCTATACTATAATAGTAGATATGTTAATTTACCTAGGGGTGTTAGTTAGCCTTTGTTAAAGCTAAACACCTCCTCCTTACAGAGGAGGCAAAAAAAGGGGGGTTACAGTAAGAAAAGGGGGGTTACACCTAGTCCTTGCCTTGTCCTACTTTTTATTATATTCTTACTAAAAATAAGTAATTATTTAAATATATTATTAATAGATATTAATAGTAACTAAACTACTTACTTTACTTTAACTTTTTAATATACCTTATTAATATAATAAGAATATAACTACTACTAAAAAGGCTACTAAAGTAATATTTACTGCCTAGTAATAGGCTAACTAATTTAACTAGCCTAGTAAAGAGCTATCTACTATACCTTTTATTTACTAACTTGCCTAGTAGTATAATATATCTAATACTTTTATTTACTAGTATCTCTAGGCTCTTTAGGCTAGCTATAACCTTTGCACTAGCCTAGATAAGGGTAGCTAGCCCTAGTTACTTATAGAGGCTAAAGATATAGCTCTTAGTGTATTTATTATATAGCTCTATAAGTCTAGCTTTTTAGCCTTACTATTATAGGTTAAAGAAATAGCTAACTACCTCTATAGTATTTAGGGCTAGCTACTTATCTCTAAGCACTTTATTTAAAGCTAGCTTACTAACTATCTAGAGCTTTAGAAGAAAAGCACTATTAAGCTAGTTAAGTTATACTAGAAGAGGGCTAAGTTAGACCTAGCTCTAGTAGAGGACTTCTTTGCCTAGTACTAGGCTGCCCTCTATAACTATAATATTAGCCTATCTAAGATATAAAACGCTAATAAATCTAGCTACTAAATTAGTTACCTTAGTAGCTAGCTTTATATAATTATCCTTAAGTAGCTACTAAAATATAACTACCTACCTAAAGTTATAGATCTAGCTAATTAAGAGTTATATATATTAGTTAAGTATAATAATATAACTAGTAATACTATTTTAGTATATATAATCTTTAAAATATAGCTAGTTACTACTTAGGTAGATTATTAGGTCTAAGAAGGTGTTTACTTTATATATTTACTAACTAGCTTTTTTAACTAAGAGGTTATAATAGATTATATATAGTACTTTAATATAGAGTTATATATAAGGTTAGTAAAGTATTACTAAATAGGCTACTTTTTTAAGGACTATTTTAGTGTTAATATATATAGTTATAATACTTATAATTTATATCTACTTAATAGTTAACTAAGTAAATAAAAGGTAAAGTATTATAACTATTAAGATACTATAAAAAAGTTAAAGTAGCTATATTACCTTCTCCTCTTGAATAAATTTATAGGCTATATAAGTCTAAAGCTTATAAAATATTATATTAACTTTAATATTATTATTACTTTTTTTTTACCTTATATAATATACTTCCTTTAGCTAATAGATATAGAAGTTTTTTAATACTTTAAGA